GTCTGGCCCTCACTGGCTTATCTATGGGAGAGCGGACGGGATCCCGAGTTCTCCAGTGGGTATGGTCGTATGTGATTATGTGATGCCGACAAATCACCTATATAATGGCGGTTATTCCAGTAGACGTGAGCCGGAACGGGTGTGATGATCGAGACCCAACGTCTTCAGGATACCACGCAGAACAAAGTTCGCCAGAGCACAGAAACGAATGCCTCATCGAGCTTCAGATCACTGTATTACACAGGCCAACATTGCGCAGATGTTAACAGGTGCCTACCTCCTATTTTCCAGAAAAGAAATCTTTTACCGTAAATAACACGAAGAAAAATGCCCGAATTTACAAAAATATGTACAAAAAACTCCGCTATAATGATATCATGATCCGCTCTATATCCCTCCTTCATTCCATTCCTCCTTTTGCTCACAACTTAGCGCACTCCCCTTAAGCGTCAGTGACGCAGCCGGAGCTAGCATCCTTGACGAGCTGGGCGTACTTCCTGAGAGTACCACGCTTAGCCTTGGGCTCAGGCGCCTTCCACTCCTTGCGGCGCTTGGCGAGCTCCTCCTCAGGAACCTCAAGGTCAAGAACCTTCTTCTCGGCGTCGATGACAATGGTGTCGCCATCGCGGACGAGACCAATGGGGCCACCCTCCATAGCCTCAGGCACAATGTGGCCGATGAGGAAGCCGTGAGAACCGCCGGAGAAGCGGCCGTCGGTGATGAGGGCAACGTCCTTACCGAGACCGTAGCCCATGATGGCGGACGAAGGCTTGAGCATTTCGGGCATGCCAGGGCCGCCCTTGGGACCCTCGTAGCGGATGACGACAACGGTCTTCTCGCCCTTCTTGATCTCGCCGCGCTCGAGAGCCTCAATGAAGCCGTCCTCGTAGTCGAAGCAGCGGGCCTTGCCCTCGAAGCGGAGACCCTCCTTGCCAGTGATCTTGCCGACGGAACCGCCGGGGGCGAGAGAGCCGCGGAGAATCTGGATGTGTCCGGTCTCCTTGATGGGGTTCGACAGAGGGCGGATGATGGTCTGGTCGGTAGGGAAGTCGGGGAACTTCTCGACGTTCTCCTTCATAGTCTTACCGGTCGAGGTAATGCCGGAGCCGTCGATAATGCCCTCCTTGAGGAGGAACTTAAGAAGGGCGGGGGTACCGCCAATCTTGCAGAGGTCCTCCATGACCCACTTGCCGGAAGGCTTGAGGTCGGCAAGGAAGGGGGTGCGGTCGGAGACAGCCTGGAAGTCATCGATGGTGAGCTTGATGCCAACGGAGTCAGCGATGGCGATCAAGTGGAGGACGGCGTTGGTAGAACCGCCAAGAATGTTGACGACGATCATGGCGTTCTCGAAGGCCTGGCGAGTAAGGATATCGGTGGGGCGGATGTCCTCGCGGAGGAGGTTCTTGATGGCCTCACCGACGCTCAAGCACTCATTCTTCTTCTCGGGAGACTCGGCGGGGTAGGAGGAGGAACCGGGAAGGGTCATGCCGAGGGTCTCGATGGCGGTGGCCATGGTGTTGGCAGTGTACATGCCACCGCAGGCGCCACCACCAGGGCAGGCGTTGCGGATGATATCGAAGCGCTGCTTCTCGTCGATCTCACCGGAGATGTACTGGCCGTAGGCCTGGAAGGCGGAAACGATGTCGATGTTCTCGCCCTTCATGTTGCAGCCGGGCTTGATGGTACCACCGTAGACCATGATGGAGGGGCGGTTGACACGGCCCATGGCGATGAGGACACCGGGCATGTTCTTGTCGCAACCGGGGAGGGAGATGTTGGCGTCGTACCACTGGCCGTTCATGACGGTCTCGATGGAGTCGGCAATAATCTCACGGGACTGCAAGCTGTAGCGCATACCGGTGGTACCCATGGAGATACCGTCCGAGACACCGATGGTGTTGAAGCGCATAGGGACGAGGCCAGCCTTGGCAACGGACTCCTTGACGAGGCCGGAGAGGTCGAGAAGGTGCATGTTGCAAGGGTTACCCTCATACCAGACAGACGAGATACCGACCTGGGCCTTGTTCATGTCGTCCTCGTTGAGGCCGGTGGCGTAGAGCATGGCCTGGGAAGCACCCTGAGACTTGGGCTGGGTGATGTTGGCCGACACCTTGTTGAGCTGCTTCTCCTGGGCATTGTAGCGGCGGGGAGTGGTGGAGAGGGAGCGGCTGGAGGGGGGAGGAAAGATCTTGGTCAGTATCGCTTTCTGAATAGCTTCACTTGCGCTTGGACATCAAGGTTGTCTGTCACTGGGCTCAAAACTCACAGGGAGAGACGGGCAGAAGCCAGAGCTCTGGGGGCCTGAGCCCGCAGAAGGGAGGGAGCGAGCATGGTGTGCGGAGGGGAGAGCTGCCGTGCAAGAAATCGCTGGCAGAAGGGAAGGGTGCAAAGGGGGAGAGAATCACAAACAAAAAGAGGGTCAAGAGGAAGATTTGGGACAGCCGCCGCAGAGGCGACTCATTCTTTTCCGGGCGGCCTGGGCGAAGTCGGCGTCCAGGACTCACAGGGCTTGCCGCCAAGTCCCAAGTCCACCCCGCAAAAAGCTTCCATGCTCCCCATGTCGACCAGGGGGAGGTGAGATATACGAGCTTTGTGATTGGTCGATCGCTTCTGTCATTGATTACTTCAGTGAGTTGCCGTGACGTGTCTCGACAAGTGGAAATAGCTTGCGATGAACCACAGAAATGAGGAAAAGTAAACATTGGAAGAGAATTCGGGTATTGCGTCTCTATGGTCATGGCAATATCAACCTGCAATGGCTTCAATGGCTTCAAGAAAACCATCATGTTGGATCTGGCTTACCGTCCACTTCTTACTCAGACCGACAGGTCCCACCACATGCGCTATGAGGCTCAGGCCCCACATTCTTAAATGTCAAGCTTCCGTCATCGGCACTGGACTGGAAGATTGGGCTATTACCCCCCGGAAATGCCATGCCTCTGCACATGCACCATTTCGCTCCATCATTCTTCGGCCGGTATTCGACCGTAGACACTGATATGACATCCGGACCGTTGCCAATCTCGTTCAATGCTGCTCTGATAGGCAAGGCGCATCACATATGTAGCGTCCGCCATGAATCTCACGATATGGAACTCGAGCTCACGGCTGAGGCGCCGGCGTCTCACCATCCCTTGCCTTCTTCTCCGCCTCATCCTTCACCCTCCTGTCGAGAATTTGGTCCACAACGCCCAATTCCACCGCCTCCTCCGCCGTCAGGTACTTGTCTCTCTCCATCATATCGCTGATGGCTGCGAGGTCGTATTTCTCGTAGCCAAACGCCTTGTTGACGTGCGACTGCACAATCTTGTTGATCTGCTCTCTTATCCTCTGGATCTGGTTCGCATAGATGAGGATATCGGATGCCTGGCCGCGTGTGCCGCCAAGCGGTTGGTGCACCATGACCGTGCTGTGAGGCAGCACGTACCGCTTCCCGGGCTCACCGCCGATGAGGAGGACGGCGGCCATGGAGGCGGCGGCGCCAACGCAGACGGTTGAGACTGGCGACTTGATGTAGGTCATGGTATCGTAGATGGCTAGACCGGAGCTCACTTCGCCGCCAGGAGAGTTAATGTACATGGTGATGGGCTTGTCAGGGTTATCGGATTCTAGCCAGAGGAGCTGGGCAACTATCGCGGCTGAGGTGGTATCGTCGATCGCGCCATTAAGGCATACTATACGTTCCTGGGAAGGTCAGACATGGTCGCATAGTACGTGTGTAAAGGTGAGGCCTGGACGTACTTGTAGTAGTTTCGAGAAGATGTCGGCTTCGTTGCGATTCGGTCAGCGCCCTGCTCGAGATCGGAAGGGTCTAGTACAAGACATACATGTTCGCCATCCTCCAGCCTGTATAGTTAGCCAAAGTCCAAAGGGAAACAAGTCAACGGTGGAGTTCAAAGCGTACTGTGACCTCTGTAATGTATGGCATGGGGATGTTGCCCATGGGCCGCAAAGGTGCCCCCGAACCGGAGCCGGTGAACTGGGAGAAGCATCGGCGTGTCGCGGGCGCGCCAACCCGTCGCAGAATGCGCATTGCCGCTCGTGGAGAGTTCATGATCTTTCGGATCTGGATACACTAAATCGCGAAATATCTGTCGTTGTTTTGAAAATCTTGCCAGGCTGGGTAAAGAGACGAGACCTTCAATGGCTTGCGATAACAGTCCGGAGTCAATGTTCAGAGCTCCAGGCAGGCAAGTGACGAACTGGAGCTCCCCTTGCAGCGAATGTGGGGCGTCCTAGTTTCTTAGAGCTCACTTGCAGGGGTGCACTAACAGCAGACCTAGAGCACGGACTTTCATCGAAGTCCATCTTGAACTTCATCACTTTTCGACCAGAAGATTATCCGCGATTTTCGCTAACACTTCACCCATTTCTCTCTCTTCACGGCGTATGGGAGAATCAGACGGTCAAGAATGAAGTCAACAATACAAAAATGTTGCGCCACAGGGCCCTCCGTATCCCGGCGCTCACTCCACCAAACCTCCCTCCTCCGCTCATCACCATCACATAACGATTCCAATAAGTCACCACGATCACCATCCTCCTCACGAAAAGACGACTATTCTGAAGACTTCGACCTCGACCCTGACGACTTCTACTTCTCCCGCCCTTACCAAATCGACCCCACCACCAAATCCGTCCACACCAAAACCGGCCTCACCCTCCCCCTCAGTCCCATCATGGACCCAACCTACCACTCCTCCCGCAACCGATGGAAAGAGCGCAAACCCACCTCCCGCCCTCCAGGTCAACGCGTCTCCAAATTTTCACAACTACTCGAATCCAATCCTTTCGCCTTGGCTCTCGCCGCACCTCTCCGCGCCTGCACCGCCACCGACGTCTTACTTCCCAAACCTTTTCTCCAGAAATTCAATCTCCTCCGCCACCCCGAGACAGACGAGCCGTGGTTTGTGCCTGCTGATCTTTCGGCGCACGGCGCTGCTGCTGCTGATCCGGCAAAGCAAAAAGACCAGGCGTTGGGACCGTCAGGGTATACACTAAGTAATCAGACGCTGTTGCACGAGTTTACGATAAAAGGCAGTCCGTATTTTGGAAGAAATCGGAAGCTGTTGAGGCGGAACGCGACGAATAAGACGGGGCTGACGGAGGTGTTGAACAAGGCGGTTTGGAGAGAGGATATGGATGCGTTGGTACTCAAGATGATGCGACGGAGAATCGTGGATGAGTTGTTGTATCTGACGGGGAAAGTGACGGGGAGTTTGAGGAGGAAGTATTTGACCCCGTTGAGGGGGGGTTATGAAGAGGCGAGGGAGAGGAAATTAAGAGGTGCGTTGGTTTATGTTGGTGGAGGGCCGGGAATGACAAACGGAAAAGTTACGAAGCCCCCGATGAGGGTGTCGACTTTGGAGATCAAGGGAGAGCGGTATAGTACTAAACTACCTGTTTATGATGCTACGGTGCTACTTGGGGAGGAGGAGTTGAAGAGGTTGATGGATGAGGAGACGGGATTTTGGAGGCAGGCACAGTTGTATGCGGTAGGGAGGGAGGCAACGACGGAGCTGCAGATGAAGTTGTGGAAGCTGGAAGGGTATATGGCGAAGGGGGAGCTGCCTCGTCATGAGGAGGTTGAGGTTACGAAAGCTGCTGAAACGAAGGATGTGAAGAGGCAGGTGCCTGGTGGCCAGGGGCAGCGTAATGCTACGAAAGCTCCAGCAAGGGACATGAAGGGGCCTGGAGGAGGTGGTAAACCCGTAAATGGATGGGGAGGGGTTCGAAGAGTCTAATGGCATACAAAGGCCCAAGGAGACACCGAGTACTCACCTGAATGCGTCAACGCTGGATTACGGAAGACGAGCGGTGTGTGAGTGGCCGAGCCACTTCGAATGTGTTTGCTTGCCATCTTCACCCACTTTGTTTCCTTCCCTGGAGACTTCAAACTTCACCCGATGCCACCGAAAATATTCAAAGTTGATATTCACCAGATGCTTCTTCAATGTCCAACAAGTGGTTCTCACCGCCCTACAGCAACAACACCCCCCGAGTCAATGATACAATGGACGGATAGACAAAAAAAAAGAGTCTACCGTACCTCGCAATGCCTCGTTTGCTCCTCCCACCCGTCTAGTAGGTAGGGAGATAGGCAACTGTACCTCTAAAATCTTCATAAAATCCCATCAATTCGGCTCACAAAAAGCCCGCTCCTGCTCAGTTGGCATGAGAGTCACCGTCTTTTCTCATATCATCGAGCTGAACCACCTCCTCTCGTCCTCTAGCGCTTGCTGATTGCATGGAGCTCGAGAACCGCAACCCTCCCTTTTTTCCCCCTCGGTTTTTTTTGTCAACAACACTATCATCCCCATGTCCTCACCACCCGCTTCAGTTCTCCCAGTTCAATTCTCCAAACAAAATATCCAGTTTCTATTTCCCTACTCAATGGACAATTTACACTCCCAAACCCAAATTCTTCTCTCAGCTGAGTGCTCCCCACCTTGCACATTACCGCGGCGTCAGACACCATCACTCTCCCTCTCTCCCTCTCTCTCTCACACATACTTTCCTTCTCTTCTCGGTCTCTTTCCCCAACTAGGCAATCCACTCCCACGCCGCATTTCATTTCAGTCCCTTTCTGCATCTCCATTTTCGCATTCGCATTTGTTTATGCAGATTGCACATTTGAGGCTCTTAGAGCCTCTCTCCACCCCTGTCTGTCTGTAGTGTAGGACGTGATAACGTAAAAAAACGATCCATCATCAATCACCTCAACTGATGAATGAGCCTCAATAGCCAAGAATACCGGGGAGAGAGCCAATAGGAAGTGTTTAACCCCTGACGATCGAAGGGAGGGTATTGGAGCGAACGGTAGTGAACATTGTATTATTTTAATACCCCGCCGGAGCCTTGTACGACATCGAACGGTAAACGTCGGCTTGGGGTTTTGTTGTTGATGATAGCTGCTGGAGCTAAGTTTGCTGGTATTTTCCAATGTTGTGTTGTTGAGGGCGGTATGACGAAATATCAAGCCATATTGGAAGCCTAATGTTTTTCTGTTCTGTTGGTCATGTAAGCCATTCATGCTTTGGGTGTCTAGCTTCGTTCTTAAGCGGATATTCCAATGCAGATCTCGAAGTGAAATTGCTATCTAGATCTAGTGTGGTGTCTTGATTTGTTGTCATTCCTTTTTGACAAGGCGTATTTCCATTGTTGATCTGTCAAAGATGGAGATCTGGAGCAGTCTGGACCCCCAAATCGCATGATATCAATTTCCCAAGACCAGGCTACGATCTCGAAGTTGCGGGAACGTTGTTTCAGTCGCCCAATCCGCGAAGGGTTCGAACTTGGGTGTGGATGGAGGTGTATATATGCCTTGGGTAAAACGTTATATGTAAATCAATGCATCAACTGTCGGAATGTCTTTGATTCGCTTAGACTGAATAGACAAATGAACAATTATCTTCGCTTTAATGTGTAATCTAGGATCGCCATGCATATTCCACGGTATCTCAATGCCTCATGTCAGCTGTAAGAACTAAGGTGTAGCTAAATTCACAAGAACCCGCAGATGATCACCCGAGAAAGCGGGGTGGATGTGATGAGGCTCTGTTATCCGAGCCCACTCACCTCAATGTTGGTTCACGGCTGTAACGTCAACGAAAGAGGGTGTAGGGAGTGATTCGCTGCTACATAGATGGCTTGGATCAAAATGGTAATGGCTTGATGTAGGGTAGGAACAGCCAAGGCTAACCACCTGGCCGCAGGCCTCTAACCGAGTCTAGAAGACCGGGAGAACGTACCTGTTGTGTATCCAAAGATGCATTGATCTACCTGAAGTCAGGCTCGACAGTATCTTCTCAAGCCACCACATGCGGTGACGAGTTTGTGTAGAAAACCCCGGCAGCCTTGCTTAGAGGAGACCCCCCGAAAAGTATCGGACATATTTCTTCATGAACAACCGGGGGATATCAATACACTAAGTCTGACTGCTGTGTTGTAAGTATCGATGATGAGCGAGCCGGTCTGAATCATTATCTGTGATGGACGCATAAAACATTCCAGAGCAATGGATCTGCGGCTGATGTGATATGAGTCGCTATTGATTTTGTTCGCTAGCAATAGCAAAAACTGCTATTTGTTGTTACACACCGAGTATATGGTTTTCTGTCAAACCATACCATACCATTGATGCATTACAGCCCGGTCTTCATGTGTGGTCCTAACCTGTGCCCGTCTGTCTGTCTCAGAGGCAGAAATGAAATCCCTTTCGGATGGTCTGATACTGTGCTGGTTCAATGGTGCACCAGGAAGCATCAGTCTTGGTACCATGCACCTGTGTTGCCTCCGTCGGTGCGTTTTTTTCCGTCTGCCTCTTCTTTGCCGTCTGCCTCCCCCTTGGAGTTTGCCTTGCCCTTCCTAACTGCCTGCCCCTTCTTACTCCATCGCCATGGTTCTGATGAGCGGTAGAGTTGTCACTCGCAGTAGTTCTCGAACCGGTTGTATCGAGTGATTGAGGTCGACCAAACACCATAGGACCTGGGTATGGCAAAGTTCCCGCGAGTGAAATGGACGGGTCAAAGGAGATGAACACAAGAGCCTTTTGCTTACTGCCGCCAGACCCACCCGCAGCATACACAAACGAACGCTCGTCCCAATCGCCAGTGATTTCGCCCACGTAGTTCGGTGGGCTGAGGATTTCGTAGAGTTGAGCTAAAGCTGGGTTGGGTGATTCGAGGTCCTGATTGGGTGGCCAAGAAATGGGTTCTTCGTGTTTGTACATTTTGTATACTTCCTCGAAGTGTGTCTCCGCAACTGATGATGAACTTTTTGCTTTCGGACAGCGGCTCCAATCGTCAATTTCTTCCGGCCTTCGGCGATGTCGCGTACCTCCACGGATGCGCATCCGCTGCTTGCCCGGATTCGAGGGTGATGGGTCGTCCACTAGGTCAAGAAACGTTTGGCAAGACGGATGATATGACAGAATCGGGCATTTATTGCGAAGGAATACCGGTCCTTTAGAGCTGTCATCCCCAGGATGCACATCTCGAGGGTCCCGGGGAGGTAGGATTCTAGGTGGCCTGTCACATCGTTGATGATTTGATTCTGAGTCGCCAGGTTCTGGGCTGCCATTATCTGGTTGAACTTCAGCGTTACTTTGGTCAGATTCGTTGCCTGAATTACCCTGGCCACCTGGGCTTGAGCTATTTTCACCGAAGTTGTTTCCATTGGTATTGCTTCCATCGAGGCCACCTTCATTGGAGTCGGATATCGAGTGACTGTCATTCTCGCTAGGCCATTTGATCGTAGTTGTATAGTAAGTACGTGTCGTGGATGAGCTCCCTTTGATCCATTCTTTTCGCGACTCCACGACCTTGATCTCACCCGTTGCTTCATCTTTGAACATTTTCATAAACGTCCACCTGTGGTCCATTGGCCCGTCCAAATGATTTCTCCGCAACAGCCCGTCGGGTTTGAGTTTGGACATACCATTGAAAGACAAAGGAATTCTTAGGCAATGATAAGGCGAGACCCAATCGGCTTCCTCCTCTTCGAGCTCGCTGTAATTCGAAAGCGAGTAAATGTGACCATTGAATATTTCGAAGCACTGGGTAATGCCTATCTCAAATGGCTGAAAGTTGAAGGGATAATAGCGCAAATGAGTAGCGGGGTGCCATGTGTTGGCTGGAATGTTGTAAGCGTTCCACACTACCACTCGTCCTCTATAATAGTGAGATCTTCTGACGATAAATAGGGTCTCGTCATTGTTTCGTACCACGACCCTGTTAGGTTCGAGGCCCACTAGACGTCGCGCAGTAAGGATTTTGTGGGCCTGAGCACTGAAGACAACGAGCGAACCCGTAGTAGGGAACGAGGCAAAATGATCTTCATTTGAATAGGGCTTCTTATAGTAGTATAAACAGGAGACGATGTTATTCGAAACGTTGAGAGGCCGAAGGCGATAATTGCGTATCTTGCGAGACTCGGGGATCGCTTCATCAAGAAGGAATCGAATGTCGACAACGACTTCGTCGGCTGCGGACCCATGGAGGTTCAATATTCGAAGTTGGCCCTGTCGGATATAACAGAGCACGCCATTTTGATATATCCAGTCCTCGCCAAAGCCAACGACAGCAGCCAAATAGGGGGTGACCGAGGAGATGGACTGGCGGCGCTTCAGTAAGCGTCGAAGTTCGTGGGCATAGTTTTTGGTAACGCGGGCGTTTTGAGTCTCTGTCGCTGCCGGTGCTTTGCTCTGTGCCGTGGGCATGAAAGTCAGCTCAGTCTACAGACGAACAGATAGGGTAACCAGTTGGCGAGACGAACCTCAAGCAGTCGTTTTGCTATGTTCGATTCTGTCACTAGAGACCTCAGATGTCTGCAGGTGAGACTCAGTTGCCAAACATCGTCTAGGTCGAGCTCGTCCAGCACATAGCTGACCATCTCGTACGGCAGCTTAAGCAGTGACATGATGTTGCAATATATGTTCCCAACAATGTGCTGGCGAGACCTTGAAGTCCCCAACGGGCGTATGCAATGAGTAGGTATTCCAGAAAAAATTGGGACTTTGGATAAAGGAAAGCAAACCAAGCTGAGAACGAATGGCATGAATTTAAGTCTGAGAGAAAGGGATATGGCCAGAGTCCAGTGGTGACGCTGCACGGAAGACGAGCAGTTCGTCAAGAGGCAAGCCAAAGAGCACTTATACCTCAGCTGTCTCGGCGGTGTTTGACCTTTCCCAGCAAACAATGTCAAGCAAGTGGAAGCGAGCGAGGAGTGAGGGTGATGGGACCTGACACCTGCCGAGAGGTTTGTCGGCTGGTTTTACATTTTGGAAGCGTCCCTTTGGAAGGAGCTCTCGGGACCCCGACTCCGCTCCCAGGCCGTTCGTTGACCACACGACATCAATTTCTCAACGATGGCTACTACCTAGCATTTCCCCCTGAGATTCCCACATGTCAGTTGGCATGTATCCTGGTAACCTATGTGCGCGAGGTGGAATGGGGACTCACTGTCTGATGTTTCTGACGAGACTGATGACGAGACCATGGTCGCGAAGGTTGTTGACAGCTGACGGGCTGTCCAAAGGCACTATGGCCCCAGGGCAGGTGCCTCAGGACAACATCATGGATGGTTTACATGGTGTTTCCATGGTCTAGGTAGCGGCTCTGCTGAGCAGGGCTGAAAATACCTCCTAGTGATTGCGGCAACCAAAGAGGAAAGATGGAAAAACACTGAGTGAGTACAAGGGAGCACGAGTTGCTGGGTTTAGATCGGGTCAGTTCCAGGGGACGGAGTCTCCCCGTCGTTGTTGACTCGGACCTTGTAAAAAGGTGACCGTTTGGTGCAGGTACGTAACGGTATCGCATGGGTGTTGGTAAAGCAGTAAAAAGTGGGGCTGCTAGCGAGTACACTAACTATCCGCCTAAAATAGGCGCAACAGTTGGTTTTTAGTCACTTTTCAACAGTGCGCCGGGTACTCCTTATCTTGAGCCTCAGCTTTACCCTTTCTTGCCAAGTGGAACCCCGCACCTCCCTTCCAATTACACTGCAGCAACCCCAATCTCCTCGTTCTTTCTTTCTTTCTTTCTTTCTTTCTCCCATGGAACTTGATCATTTCACATCCGTTGTGCCTCACTCCCTTCAATTTCCCATTTACGCTACTTACCTCTACATACATTACCTCGACCTTGGGGAAAGAACCGACCATCTATCGTACCACAACACGACAGAGCCGCTTTAATCACTTCATGTTACTCCAAGCCCAAGAAGGGACCGCCTCGAGCCCCTGCAACGGTGGTGACTGGGGAACACACGCTGGCGTCAGGTGGTACCACGAATTGCAACTCCAGTCGCACTTGATCAAATCTCTCGGCCATAAGTACAACGACACTTGACTTGTTCGGGCCGGACACTGCTCATTTCGTCACCCTTGATCCCTGTTGTGAGAGCAGTTGCGGCTCTGCGATGAATAAAGGCACCAAGTGGAAATCAGCAACGCCATCAACAACCCGAGCCGCATCTAAACGGATGGAGGAATATGGTGGATGCCACTACCACCTACTGTAGCAATCTCGGAACTACTACCTTATCTCTGCCCTACTCCTCAAATCTTGCCATCTCACAGCTAACCTAACCCAATATAGTTCATCTTCCTCTCCTCTGAAAGTCCCAGGCCATTCGAATCATCTTGATGATCATCCCCGTCATCAGCGCACTAAGCCCCAAATCTGACAGATGAATGGGACCCAGATCGTCACTTGTTTCGGGGTGTGGAGGTTAGATGACCTTCGTGTTGGCATTAGTGGGCAGTACGGATCCTGTGGCCACCTTTGCGACCGTGACAGCCAGATGGGAACGAGACAGTAAGACAGGCTACGGTCGTGCCATTCAACAGTCGGGAAGTATAAGCGTCTGACTATCCAAGGTCAGATCTAGCGGTGTCAGATGGCGACGCAAACACTCAGCAGAGATAGTTGGTGCTAGGCCAAACATCATGTTTTGAAGTTGGGCAGAAACTGAATACTTGTAGGCCCACAAAGATATGACAGGTCACCGGCCAAAGCCTCGCGTGGCAGCGTCAACAACAACCACGACCACGACACGCAAAAATGCCAACAGCCATAATGCTGGGATTTGATCAACCTTCTCGAGCTCTGGCCACGAAACGTCCTATGGGCGTGTCCAAAATCCCCAGTTCTCTGCCCTTTTCGCTGCTGGACTCGACTATGCAGCATAGTCAACCAAGTTGATCAGGTGCCAATCTAACCCATGGATCCAAACATGTATCACACCTGGATCTTGGCTTGAGAGCTGGTTGCGGTGTCGTATGCCACGGATGATCCGAAAGACGTCGATATCCGAGTTTGTTTTGTCCTCTACTACCTCCAGGCGCACCGGCTCTAATAGTCTCTGCCACTACACAACTATCCTCAATCTATTGCTAAGTCCGCTCTACGTTGTCTTCGTCGAGCTCTTATAGGACCGAAACCACATCATAAAGCTCTGCTGAGGCTCGAAAGAAGTAGCTTAACCCGCTCACCCCCAATTCCATGTATCATGCTCAGACGCAAACTTTTACCGCATAGCCTAGCCTGCATTTGCTAAACCCCCTCAGTCGTCTTTTAAGCTCACAGTCCTGACATGTATTTGATCTGCTCATTGCGAGTGTCACGCCCAGGGAACGCTTCCTCCAGAACTCTGGGCTTTTTTTTAAGCCAGCCAGAAGAGAGGTAGAGACTTGAACTATCTAGATGACTTTTCAGTAAAACCGAAAAGCTCAACTCCCCTATCATCTCCAAGGAGTGTGATTGAACCCTTCATCATTCAACGTCAGCGTGCCATCAAATCAACGCACCCCGAGCCTACGTAGCAAAAAGAACTGGTCAGATCTGACCATTTTGAGTATATCGACTTATGTTCCTCACCCGCTTCGATGGAACGGTCCATTCGCACGAATGAACCCATCATCTTAGTAATCCTCTCCAATGGTGGAAATTGACCAATCAGCTCACGCGTAGTATCTCAATTGGGGATTGTATTGGAGACAGCTTCACAAACGACCCGGCAGCCTAGTGCGGGCTTATCGTAACATTGACGAACCTTGCAACAATGTGAGTGACGGGGAGGAGTCATCATCACTCTTCACTTTTAAGATTCCGATGTGATCGGATTATCTTGTGGTGAATTGCCGCCCCTTCACTAGAGGGGCGCGGCGATTGCGGAAAATCAAAACCTTGGCTTGTCGGGAACAACTGCCGAACGATAGTTTGCTTCACCTCCTCACTGGCTCACCCACCGATCTGCTTAAGCCGGCAATTATTTTTTTTTCTCTCGAAAATTTGGACATCCCAATCTCTTCCTCTCATCAATATACGACCACACCGACGAGGTAACGTTTTGCGCCATGACGGAATCACAGTCCAAAATCGACCTCTACGCCCCCTTCGAGCGCGACACCATCCTCGAGGTGCGCGCGAGCAAGATGAAGAAAATGAGGGGTCTCGAGGTCATGAGCGGAATCGACAAGACCATCATCAATGGGCCCGTATACGTCGGTCGCACCGGTTTGGAAGGCGATGAGAGTGACCCGACCTTCCACGGCGGCGTCGACAAGGCCGTTCACGGCTGTAAGTGAAGCCTCGAGCTCTCCCACTGAAACTCCCACCATACTGATCATCGACACAGACTGCTCCTCCCACTACCCAACCTGGGCCACCGAACACCCCTCCGCCGCTGCGGCCTTTGTCCCCGGCGGCTTCGGCGAAAACCTCGTCACAGCCCACATGAACGAGCGCAATGTCTGTATCGGCGACACCATGATCGTCGGCAGCCCATCCGCCCTAACCTCCAACCCGGAATCCTGCCTCCTTCTCCAAGTCTCTCTCCCCCGCCAGCCCTGCTTCAAACTCAACCACCGTTTCCAACTCAAGAAGTTCGCCCCCTTAACCTGGAAGCATTCACGAACAGGCTGGTACTACCGCGTGCTTCGCCCTGGTTTCGTCCAAGCCGGCGACGAGATCCGTCTTGTCTCTCGTCCTCACCCGCAATGGACCATCGAGCGAATCCAAGAGTACCTCCACCGCAACCAGGACGACGAAGCCATGAACGCCGAACTAGCCAGCATCGAAGAACTCGGCGCAGAAAGCCGCGACGCATTCAAAGCCCGCGTGGCCCGCTCGGCAGCCAAGAAGAAACGAGCAGAAAAGCTCGCTCGGTGGCGCGACTTCCGCGTCGTCGAACGACGACAAGAAACCTCCCGCATCCTCTCTTTCATCCTCGAAGCCATCGACCCCATCATCCCTCCTCCGGGCGACGAAAAGTCCATCCTCCTCAAACCAGGCGCGCACGCCCGCGTCAAACTCGGCAACGGCCTTGTCAGGGCTTACTCCATCGTCGGCCCCTCTTCTTGCTCAACCATCAACCGCTTCCAGCTCGGCATCGCCCTCGAGCCTCACTCCCGCGGCGGCTCCGCCTACTTCCACTCTCACGTCTTCGAGGGCCACGTCCTTTCCGTATCCACAACCTTCACCAACGCGCTATCGGGCAACAACAACAACAACAACAACAACAGCGCAGGCGGCATCTCTCACCACATCTACGTCGCCGGCGGGGTAGGTCTCACCGCCTTCCTGACCTCGCTCGAACAGCTGCAATCCATCCACGTCTCATGCGAACTGCACTACGCCGTTCGATCTAACGAAGACATTCCCTTTCGCGACCGTTTATCCCAACTTAACCCTGGCACTGTGAAGATCTACGACAAGACACAAGGCGAACGACTTAATATCGAAGAAATCGTTAGACAAATCCCGTGGAACACCATGATTTACTTTTGTGGACCCAAGAGTCTCATGCTGGAGGCTGCGCGACAAGTAAAACAGTATGGCGTGCCGGAGGGGGAAGTCCACTTTGAGGCGTTTGAGGCGGATGTCGGTGGTGATCCGTTTGAGGCGGTGGTTGCGAATAGGAACGACAAGATGGTTCTTCAGGTGGGAGGGGATGAGACGCTGTTGGTGGTTTTGCAGAGGGAGTTTGGCGATGAGGAGGTGGAGGGGAGTTGTTGCGTGGGAAATTGCGGGACTTGTAAGGTCATTCTTAAGGGGGGAAGGGTGGAGCATAGGGGCACGGCGTTGACGGCTGAAGAAAAGGGGGAGGTCATGTTGGCTTGTGTTAGTAGGGGGGTGGGGAGGATTGTTATTGAGATTTGAGGGGGTGAAGGCGATGGTTTTTGTTGGTTGGCAGTGGGGGTGCAATAGGGAACGGAACCATGTGGAAGTTATCCGGCAGTGGGAAGAAGAGGCTGCGTAAGGAAAGAGGCCTCGGTGGTTTTTTCCCCCTCATTTTCGTGTTCAGCAAGCAACGAAGCGTTAGAAGTAGACCAAGACTAGACTGAGATACCAGAATCATCATCGAAGACTGTATGAGTCCAACAATAAAGCGAATGGGCAATCTCAGTCACATTATGAGTCCGGTACGCATTGAGCCGATACAACGAGGCAACACAGTTCTCAGATGGGCTACAAACATTCTTGGGTACACAGCTGGATTTGTAGCAGAAATGGCAATGCCTTCTTTTGTAAGACTAGCTGCTGGAAATATGTATCACATCTACCAAGCACTTAAAATCCCGGTCTGGTGAATGGTCAACTGACCGCAGATATCATATCTGTTTCCTGTCAATCATATATGCCATGCAGTTATGTTTGCCAATCCCAGGCATAAATGCCACTGCAGCAGGATCAGAGAACGGCTTTTCAAATGGAACATCAAGCGGGCATATCGACCCCTTTTCCCAGATCCACTCCTTCATTCCTTTCCGCCAACAACTTCTCCCCCATTATGATGGGTTTCTTGACCAAGTAACCGAGTTCCAAGCACACACATCATGAAAGCCATAAAACCTGCAATATTGACTGTCCATCATACCCTGTGTCGGCCCACAAGCTCATACTGATCCTTTCTGTTTACCAATGGCGCGGGTCCTCGGGGCCAAACTGACCCTTCTTAATCTTCGCTCTGAGTTTCCCATCCTTGGTCCAAGCATTCGCAATGTCCCTGGCGTACAAATAAGAAGCAAAAGATTCCGGGCCAAACGGATCATGGTCGGACTGAGGAGGCTGCTGCTGCTGCTGCTGCAGCACAGAGGCGGCACGTTGTGGCGGGCTCTTCTGGTCGCTTTGAACAGGAGGGTTTTCGGCGTTGGTCCATGAGTTACCCAAGAGCCAATCGTGAACTTGCTTTTGGCGGTTGAGGATGCGGCCCGGGACAGCGTTAGAGGGATGCAAGGAACGGGGACCATTTTGAGAACTGCCGTTACTGGTAAGACCAAAGCCATCACGCTGCAGAGAATTGCCGTCGGTTTGACGGCCGGTGTTGGTAACAGGACCAGAAGTCTGGGGGTTTGAGGGCTTGGTGACACCTGAGTTGGTATTGTGGGCAGCAGTTAGGTTGGCAACCACGTTCTCGCCTTGCCAGGCACCGTTGGGTGTAGGCGACGGTGTGGTAAGGTTGGTATTAGGACTCTTTCTGCCGAAATTAACCTCGCTCTGGGGCGTGCCGTTTGTGGCATCAGCATTGGTGGGTGCGTTGACATTGTTGTGGGTTTCGTCGATGGTCATATCCTGACTGTCCCTGCCGACCTTGGTAGTGCCCTGTAGAACGCCATTCGGTGTGGTGGTCAAGTTAGAGGGCTTGATGTTCTTCGAGTTGTGATCGACTGCGGACGGGACCCTGGCGTTTAGGGCATCTGGACGAGGAGCGTCGTTGTGGGAGGTCTGTTTGTAGGTCTGGTTCGGGATCGCCTCGGTCTGGGTACTATTTTCCTGGGAGGCCTTCGTGCAGGTGGCCTGGGTACCCTTATTCAGGGTAGCTTTCGGGCAGGTGATGGTCTTGGAAGTAACGCTCATAGCCTCCTGCTCTGTTGCCTTCTTGGCAATTAGCGAAGCAATATCCTCGACTGCGGACCCTGTGGTTTTGCTGTGAAGAATCATCTTTGTCAAGGCATCGTCGTAGGAACTGATGCCCTTCAGCAGCAACATATCCATGAGCTCGTCTGAAACGTCAAAGAGGGCACGGTTGAGGCGTCGGCGGAGCCATAGGGCCCTACCCAGGAATGCGTGGAGATTGGGAAACTGGGAGTGATCAATGTCGGTGAGCTCCTTAACAAGTCGAAATTTGTGCTCCGCGGAGATTTCACTGTCCCACTTGATTACCGCCTTGTAAAGGCTCCGCGGGTCCAAGGCATGGTTTCCTTCGTTGTATCCGAGGGCTTGAAGCTTGGTGATGATGGGCTGAATGCTATTTGAGAGCATGGTGTACGCCAGGACTTGCTTCCTCTTGAAGCATTTCTGAACTTCTTGTGGGGCGGTCTTGGCAGGAGCCTGCTCGTCGCCAGTGATGATATCGTGGACATCAAAGTAGCTCAGTTGAAGGAGGAGTGCATTATGCCAAACCTCGAAATCCTCCTCGCTGCTCAGAGAAGGAATCGCGTGAAGGCGAGGGAATGCAGGAATGTTCGAGTTCAGGTGTGTTGACGCCATCTTGGCTGGGTCAAGGAGCCGATGATGACGAGACGGGGACTGAGCAAAATCTGATGCTGACGTGGAAGGTGAGAATGACTTGATATCGGGCAAATGTAGACGAGTGAAACTTCCTGTGGGTGTTGTTGTCAGATTGACGGAAAGGTTTCCCGGCGTTCGCTGGAGAGGCGGGACTCGGGCTCAGGGTTAATGGTTGTCGTTGTTCTTCAGTGTTGTTTGGGGAAGGATTCTGGGAAAAAGCCCAAGATTTGATGGCAAGAAGTTGTTGCGAGGGGAGATTTAAATAGTAAGGCAGTTGGCCTGGTGCATGACTGGACGAGGAGGCGAGGGGGTTCTATTGTCATGCCTCCATAATAGGACATCAGATGGACGACGTGCAATGTGTCAGTTTCGTCTCAAGTGGAAGACCGCCGCGGTCGTCCTATTGAGCAACACACTAAGTAGCGGTGGTGTTTGTATCTGATCAGGAAGGAAGGAGCGTCTCGTCTGGTTGTGACTGCCTTGCAGCTCCCGCAGATCAATTCAATTTAGTTCGGACGAGTGCAACAGGTGACGGATACTTATACAGACCGGCGTGAAATACCTAAATACATCCATCCGGCTTGTGGTATTGTGTGTGTAATACACTTTGTCAATGGGACAAGTAGGTGATGGAAGTTTGAGATCACAGCAGTGGGCACTATTATATGCCAAGGTTGATCAAGTAGAAAGTGGGATGCACTTGAAAAAGGGGATCCATGTAGAGAAACAAGATGTACCGTTTGCGATTTGTCGTCTCGAGTAGTTGGAATGGCGAGATGGCCGGCTCCGAAACGAGTTCCTCCACTCCGAACACCGAACATTTCATCCCAACTTTCCATTCCAAGTTTCTCCATCTCCAAAGGTCAATAGCACCTCTCTTCATCCTTTTCCTCCGGTGGGGGACCCATTGGGTGAAAGCGAAATACCGACAAGAGCGGAACTGTCCAAGTGAAGCAATGACATGGTTGTTTCAACAACGGGAGCGGACGTCGCAAGCGAAGCGTTGATCAGATCATACCATAAGAGAGCGGGCGTTTACAAGTCAAGTAATCTCTCCTACAGAGTCGAGAAACTCTTATCGCCTCAAGCAGGCAGACGAGTAGGTTGCTGACTTCATGCAAAGGTGAGGAGAGTTGCGGGGGAGGACCTTGAAAAAAATCAAGCGGTGATGAACTGCATTCACCCCAGGCATTCTCTCGAGGATGATGTAAGTGATGAAATTGCAACATCTGTCGAGGTGGAGGATGAAACTTGAGTTTTTTTTTTTGTCTATTTTCAAACTTCATCTTATGTCACCTGGCACTGCTACGCAGGTGACGGAGAGTCCTTTTCCTCTTGTGTGAGTTTTCAGAGGTCAAATCCACCTCATGAAATGATTAGAGCAACCCTAACACCTGGCGTAAATAGGTACACAGACGATAAAAGTCCATCACTTGGCTTGATACACAAAGTGAGATTTGAAAGAGAGGAAATAGTTCGTCACCTGGCACGAATGCACAAGTGGCGCGTGATAATCACCAAAGGTGAAACCTAATGAGTGAAGAACCGGCGAGGAAGCATGATCGGGTAGAGACATGACCGTATCTCTTCTTCAAGTCCTTGGTGCTCTTAATGTCGATTAGAGCACCTTTTGACGACGCCGCTAGGACCCGAACGATGGTCTTTGGCCTTGCGGCGCCTCTTGTTCTTCGGCTGACCCCTGATCTGTGATTCAAGTTCGAGGAGATTGTTTTTGAGGTCATCTTCGCGGCGCTCTCTTAATTGCTTGTAAAAGGGGTATTGGCTACCAATGTCGACTTCAAGCTGAGAGGGATTGAGACTTCCATCCTCGATTTGCTTGTACAGGTAATCAGCCCAGATCGAATCATAAGTCTGTAGGCCTTTAACCAGAAAGCCCATGTAAAGTTGATCCGCAATCGGCGTGCCCATCCGCTTGAGACGCGTGCGAAGCCAGAAAGCTCTATCGCGGTAGGCGAGAATGTCTGAATTATGTTGGCAGTGGCAGATGTTGGCGAGTTCCTCCATAAGACGGCATTTGTAGGTTATAGGGCGGTCGACATCCCAGCGATGAACGGCATCCCACAGGACTTTGGGATCGCGATCGTTGGCGTCAAGGGTCCAATGCCCACTGGACTTGAGTTGTTGCAAGATGGGATGGATGCTGTCGTAGATGATCCGAAAGGCGTATTGCCTTCTTTCTGCAAAGACCTTTCGGTTCAGTCTGGCAATGCGGCTGTCGTCTCCTTGAGGAGGTGTCTCAGTGCCCTTGATGAAGCCCTCGAGATTCAGGGCCCGGAGCTTGGTTTGTGCCATAAATCTCCATTCTTCAAAGTTTTCATCATCTTGGAGGTCCGGGATAAGAAAGACCGGAAGGTGCTTCCCGAATGAGTGCTTCCATTCGGGCCAGAGCTCCTTGGCTTCGTGATCAAAAGTGCTTGAGGTGGTGCTGGTACGAAAGTTTGTTAGCCCGGTTCTCCAGTGAAACTGAATGAGCAGGTGGAGCGGGAGCATTTGGTGGTTGGAGGCTCGCCTTGGAAAGGGGAAGATTGAGAGGAACAAGAAAGCATCCATGTATCTGAAACAATTTGTCACCTTTCGGTTGGAGAAGTAGCCATGATGACCAAGGCGATAGAATTTGGGTGGACGTGAATACTCTGGAACAGTCAATAAGACCGATAGTGGTGAAGGTAGAGAGTAAAAACAAATGGGCGTTGAGTGACATTGAAAAACAGAAATTACTATCAATACCGGGGTTTTGGAAAGGAAGTAGTCTGATCGATTGTGGGTTTCTGCAACAGGGAAGGGCCTGTATAAAGAGAGATAGACAGGCCACCCAAATAAACCAAGTTCTTTGACTTGGCAGTCGTTGTTCACATATTGCCGTGCGTTGAATTTGAAAAAATTGAAATTACTAAACGGTATATTCGGCCCCTAACATTCAAAGTTCTCTTCGTGTTAATGAAAGAAATCCGAACCGTGTTCCACTGGTGGGAGTTACTTCCTCTTTACATGAGGTCATTGGACTCGTTAATAAGGAGAGGCACGTTGCCTGGCCCGACCTCTCTGTCCAGGACGACGTCCACGAGTATTGCGGCGCTTCTTGATGTGTTGTGGCTTGCTTGGCGCGACTTGTCACTCACTCATGGATTCCCAGGCCGCCTTTGTCTCGATCTTCTCCGACAAAGTGAGGTAAGTCCAGTCCGATGCCTCCAGGACCAAGAGCGTCTTCCAGTATTTGTCGGGATGATTCCTCAATCCGCTCAAAACACATGTCTTCATCAGCTCGTCGTTAATGGTCACACCGGCACGCTCGAGGCGACAGCGAAGCCAGTTAGCTCGGCGCTTAAATTCAAGGAGGTTATCGAACTGAGAGTGGTGTATATGACTGAGTTCCCTCACCAAGTTGACTTTGGCAGATGTGTGGAGGTGAAAAATGACATCCCAGCGATGAATAGCATCCCACAAGGCCTTTGGATCGAGGTCATCCGGCAATTCGTTGGTGTCATATCCGGAGAGACTAAATTTCGAATGGATAGGCTTAGTGCTGTAGTAGATGATTCGGTAGGCGCAACGTCTTCTATCATTGAAAGTTTGAAGGTCCTGGCAGTCCTCGGGAGTGTCACCAGGTGGAGATGTTTCCGTCCCTTTGACAAAACCCTCAAGACCATGTATCCTGAGAGTTCCTAGGACTCTACGGTCCCATGACTCAAAGTTTTCTTCTCCTTTGAGTTGTGGAAGCATCAAGCCGACGTCTGGGGGGTGTCTGGCCAAAGGGGCCATCTTGGATGGCGAATGTCGTTGGCCGGCTCGTGAGGTTTTTGATCACACGAAACGGAGCTAATCAAAGTGTTAGTTCCGTTTTCGAAGTTGAAGTGTTCAAAGCCCAAAGCTTCAAGGTAACTTGACGAAGGCTTAGCTGGGGAAGAAGAAACACAATCAGGCAGATGGAATGTGCATCTCCGTGAGAGATCTTCACCTTTCTGTGGAATCAGCAGCCATGGTAACCAAAAGTGGATGGTACAGAGTGTTCAGTGGCGAGGTGAAGAGGCTGTTCAGTCGTGAAGTTTGTGTCTAAAAGAAAAGAAGGAAACGAGTCACGGTCGAAGCACAATCAGCGAACCAGCCTATATCAGGCTGTTCGGAGTGGAAACGAAGCTTGTGACCGTGCAGGTTGTGTGTAAATGACGGAGTGCATTGCATACGCACAGAAGAACTACGGAAGACCATTGCAGTCAATGCTCACACATTATGCCATGATAACGCAAGAACTTGATGTAGCATCTGGGCGACTTTGTGTTCGGCTTTTTCCTTGCAAGAACCCAGGGTCGATGTGTTGCATGCCTTCACGCTCGATGCATCAATTCAAGGCTCTTTGTACGACACTGAGTTCAGACAAGAAGAGATCTGATAAAAACAAAGATCTTGATCATAGTCAATCGAAAGTGCGAGTCTAATGCCCATAAGGTGCCGGTAGAGGACACTGGGAATTGTGCGGCAAACACGCCGAGATGGTCGGTCAAAGAGTGGATGTTTTCGCGAGACTGCCCGTGCCCTGCCATCAGGAGGCGCACAGGCACGAGAAACATAGGTAGCTGGTGAGGAGTACCACAGGGGTACAAATAGCCACAAAGGATGCGTCGGTAGGTCTATGACGGTGTTAGTGAAAAGCACCGAGTTGCGAGCCATGCTTAACATGTTTGATGATGGGCAATTTAGTGGATGTGTCCGTGTGGAAGGAGCATCCCACGTCGATTTCTATTTCCCTCTAGCTGGACCTGGCACGTCTTTTCCTCCCCATCCAAAGGAGTTCCTGAGGAAGCCTTTTCCCTCCTATCAAGTTCATATGGTCTGCGCTTCTTTTGCAGAGTCGGGGAAACGACAGAAAATCGGACCATCTCCCCAACGGGTATGCTCTCCGGGATTTCGCAAACGTGAGCGCTCGAACAGACGAGAAATAATCTACCAGTATCGAAAACTTCTCTCATCGTCCCCTTTAAACCACTAGCGGCCTGAGCTTTGGATGACCAGTGAAAGGTGACAGAGGGACCCCCAGGGGACACGATCCAGAGAGATCATGAGATGCCCCTCAATAGCGACGACCGCCTTGTCTTGAACCGCCGCCATGCCCGGAGGGATGTCCATTGAAATTGCGCCGCCTATTGATTTCTTGTTGCTCCTGTTGATAAGAGTTCAATTCTCTTTGGATGGCGTCGCTGAACTTTCTCATACCCGACATCATTTCTTGGGAGTTTAAATCGTTGTACCGCTCGATTATTCGAGTTTCCAAAGTATTGCTGTGGTAGGACGGAAACACACCTCCGTACAGACACGTTTTCATCATCTCATCCGCTATTGGCATACCGGCACGCTCAAGACGCCGTCGAAGCCATTGAGCTCTATCCAGAAACGCAACGATGTCATCGAATTGGCGATAGTGGATGGAGGTAAGCTCTCTTAGCAAGTCGAGTTTTCTGTCTGCGTCGATGTTGTTATACTAGCTTTGCACCCCATCCCATAGGAATTTTGGATCGCAGTCATCCAGCTGATCGTATGGGCCGTACCCGTCGATGTAAATAAGCCCCTGGAGTCTCGCAACCACGACACTCTGATTGAGGAGGTTCCAGGCGTTCCATCTTCTGTTCTTGAAGCCCCTGAGCGCGTTTATAGCTTCGGGCGTGTTACCAAGGGGAGGTGTCTCTGTACCCCTTATAAACCCCTCAAGGCCAAGCATCCTGAGGGTATTTATGGCAAGACATTCCCACATCTCAAAATTCTCTTCTCCTTGGAGCCTGGGAATTTCGGGACGGTCGTCATCGTCCGATGGATCATACATCGTGACCAACCCGTCAGGTATATCCGCTTTTCTAGGACTGTCCTTGTCTGACAATCAGCTCATACCCAGTAGGCTGGAATTGGAAGACTTGAAGTGAGCCGAAAGATATGGTTAAAGCGAAGCCGAAGAACACGACATATAGGAGAGATTATAGGCGTACACGTAGAACTTTGTTACCTTTCTGTACAAGCTCTGGCAGCCAAAGCGAGGAAAAGGAAAAGCTTGAACTTGTGCGACGGCGAGACAGAGATCCTGGTATACCGTCTAGAGTCCTTGAACGGGCAGCACGGACAAGGCTGTCGGACACCCTGTTCACTCAGCAGCCTAAAATCCGAGGTTCGCGAGTTTTTGCGGTGGTAGACAAAGTTATATGTAGAGGTATCCGAAAGTCGTTGTGTGAAGTCGAATTATTCTGTGAGAGGGGAAAGTTTGTAAGTAGTAAGTGTAGCTCCAAGGTGTGCACAGGCGCCAAAGGTACCTGAATGTTACGGCACTGATCACAACCAATCACCGTTTGGTATAATTTTACAAGGCTGAGAAGTGGGGCGCAAAAGTTTCGTGGAGACGGCGACGGGATGCAGAACGAACTGAATGCTTCCATCTTCGCTTCGGTTTTCAATCTTCAAGCAGAACTAACTCGAAAACCACACTCGTCAACAGCACGTTTGCGTCTTAATTCCATCAAGATGGCGCCATCTCCGCAAACAATAGGCGAATTCAGCGTCCTCCCGATCTCGATCCCTCCCGTTCCGTCATTCCCTCGCAATGTCGTTCACTACCTCTATGTCCGACGAAACACTCCCAAGATCCCCACAGCCAACGACTCCAGGAGTCTCTTCCTCGCAAATGTCCCCATCGACAGCACAGAGCTTCATCTTCGCGCTCTTTTCGCATCACTAGTCGGCGCCGGCCGCTTCGAGAGCGCTTCGTTTGAGGATGAGAGGAAGGAGGCCGAGGCCGTTGCCGCCGCCCTAGACGCCGCGCCCGCACAGGCGGTACGATTACTGGCTGCCCACGGAAAGAAGAGGAAACGCGAGGATCAAGAGGCTGCCGAGAGAGCCGAGGAAGAAGCTGCTGCCCGACTCCCCAGCACATGGACCCGACCACTACGAAAGAGCGGCAGCACTGCTGTCGTGCTGCTCGCCGACGAAAAGAGCGTCCACCAGGTTCTGAAGGCGATCGCAAAGGTTCACAAATCCAAGAAATATCCCACATGGGGCGGCGAAGGAAATGTCGTGGCCGAGCGCGTACCACAGCTGGGTTCTATCTGGCTTAAGGCGCACAACCAGCTTTCCTACCCCGATCGGGATCAGCTACAAGCCGCCGTGGATGCGTTCTCGACCATGTTCGCCAGGAGAGAGAGAGAAGCGGCCGAGATTGCCAAGCGACTGCGCAACGAGCCGGACGAGGACGGTTTCGTCACGGTAACACGCGGTGGAAGAAGCGCCCCGGCCACCAGGAACGAGGCCGAGGAGGCCAAGAAGAAGATGATCGAGAAGGCGGAGAAGAAAAAGCAGGAGATGACGGACTTCTACAGGTTCCAGATGAGAGAGCGCAAGAAGGCCGAGCAGGAGGAGCTGGTGAAGCGGTTCGAGGAAGACAGGCAGAAGCTGGATGCCATGCGCCAGAAGCGCGGCAAGTTTGTTCCCGAAGCATGAGCGGTATAACGTCCAACCAGGTTTCGTTACCTCTGCGACTCCAGCAGTTCGTAACTACGATTTTCTTGGGCAACTCAACTCCAACTATTGCGACCAAGCGATCATTTTAGGTAGCACGACACTACACAACAGGCCTGCTGGAGAGAGGGTCCGGTGTGAACTTGCGCGCAAGACCATGCAAGTCTCTCCAAAACCTACCATTAGGTGTGTATCTTCAGTTTGCGTTTCTTGCTTTCCATATCAAGATTTCATGATGACGCACGCGGGGCCATCAGATGTCTTTTTTCGCCTCTGGGTCCAACTCCCATGGGTGAAAAGGCAAACGCTGACAAACACCGCGTTCCAACAATCTTCTCAAACACTCTGAAATGTCTTGCATACCGGTTCCCGCTTATGTTACGCATTTGTTGTCGTACGTAGTTGTGCTGACTTCTGAGACCAGGAACCTCTTGGCGTCAATTGCATGGCATAGTCATTCCGCTTTCGCCGTCGTCATGGTGATATAATCTTGGAAGACCATATACCCAACAATCACGAAGCAAGGTGACAATCCTGGTGCAGTCAATTGGTCTTCATCGACGGCCACACAGCAGAGACCACAACGACAACATTTGTTTGAAATGGGTTGGGAGCAGATTTTTTGTGCAACGGAATAGAGGACGGAAAAAGAGGCAACGGAGTTCAGGAGTTCAAAAGGATTGGAAAAGCCATTCCCGATATTTGCGAGGCTGGCAATTGTACATAACATATATTTGCATCTCGTCGGAGTCGAATGGAAGGCGGAGACGGGATCATCTGTCAATCGTATCCTGCTGACGGCCTGCAGCCCCCCCAATGCAGATGTCGGATCATCACTGCCAAGGAGGGTGGAGGAGGAAAACAGAGAAGAGGCGGATCAGGGGTCCAACAACCATTCAGAAGAGCTTGTACGCAGGCGGGGGTTAGGGTTTTAGCCTGTACTTGTATGTTGACTTGCGTTTCAACTTGTTCTCCTGGCTGGCTTCCTTCCTTCTTCGCGGTCGCCGGCGGTGTTTGTGACGATGCGGTGTGATGAGCTACACGTAGCGGTGCCGCTGTGGTCCAGCTCTCCAGCGCTGTTGCGGCCAAGCTGTGGAGAGCCATGCCAGTTGTCCCGTAGTGGCCCGCCACAAAAGTGGGTGATCGTATCTGGATACGGGCTCGAGACGGGGTGTGAGCCGGGCCGGGGGAGGAATTGCTACAGCAACGGCCCCACCACCCAACGAAGTAAACATGTGTGATGCCGGTTCCGTTGATTCAAAGATTCGAACGCTTTACCCACACCTCCACTGCTCCAACTGCCCACTGCAGTGCCACCCTGTATGTTGCATTCGCCAATTGTGAGGCCGGGAAAACAAGACATCCAATTGATCGACCTTCAGCCAGCGATTGACGCCTTAAACGCCGCCCATCCGCTCGCCCACCACCAGCTCGCCAATTACCTACATGCGTGTGTATGTGTGTGTGCGTGTGTGGTATGCAGCTCGTTGAGACCCGGACCCCTTGACAGGTTGACATCGATTGACCCCTAACGGTCAGTCCTCTGCATTGCCGTTGCTGTCGCTGCTTTCAGGTTCCTGGCGCTTTGCTGCTTCCAACCTTGACGCCAACCCAATCCATTTACAACTTGGACTTCGACTTCGATTTCTCGTCGCAGCAGGCCGCGACAGTGGTGTAAATCGGGAAGGCCCAAACGGCCCTTTACGAGAAGTTTCCAAAGTCGAACCAGTTCAGTTCACTAACCTCCCAAACACCATCGCCGCCGAGGTCGGAATGATCACGATAACCGCCTTTTACACCGCCAACAACCGCCCAACATGATAATCTCAGACAACCTCCGCACGGCATCCATATACATCAACAACCAGCTGCTCTCGCGCGGCCTCCTCCGCGATGGCGACACCATCGACTTCGCCTACCCGGGCGACAACGATGACGAGCTGGCCCACACAATGGGTCGTATAATGGGGGTAGTTAACGACCTGATCCTCCGGCGCGACGTACGTTTTCTTTTTCCCTTCCTTACCTTGGTCATCCTTCTCCTCCCCCTTTCTATTCCCCCATCTTTTCTAAGCTAACAAACCTGCCCTTTACTGCAGCGCGACGCCGAAACCCGCGAATCCCTCTCCCAAACCCTGCGCTCCCTACGCGCCGAGTCCCTCCGCCAAAGCACCGACATCGTCCGACTGTCCGACAAGCTGACCGATTCCGCGCGCAAGACCGCCCTCGCCGAGCAAGAGACTGCGCACGCTCGCACCCAATTAAAGGCTGCCGAGCAGACTGTCGCCCGTCTGAAAGAGGAGGCTGCCCGCCAGAAGAGCCTGGTCCAGCAAACGAGAAATGCGTGTGCGAATGAGATCAGGAAGCGGGATCGAATGATTGAGGGGCTGAAGAAGGCGGTGGCGGATGCGGGGAGGACAAGGGGCACGGGCCATACCAGGGGGGCGTCGAGAGACGGTGGGATGGGTAGTGGGCTAGGAGGTGTGATGAGCATCGTGGTACAGGCGGGCGAGGAGTATAATGCTGAGGCGGGCGGCAAGATGGGGGTTCCGCAGGGGATGACCGGGTCAGAAGGGTATGATCTCCGAATGGAGACGAACGGGTTCCTTGCGGAGCTGGCCAAGGGTCTCAGCGAGGAGAATGAGGTTCTACTTGGGCTGGTGAGGAGGACGGTGAAGAGGATGCAGGAGATGAGTGGATGGGATGTGGTTGCCAATGTTGTGGTGCAGCAACAGCAACAACAGCAGCAGCAGCAGAAAGATGAGGCCGGGGATACGAACATGGAGGGCGGAGGCGAGCTGAGGAAAGAGGAGGACGAAGGGGAAAAGCATGCTCTGGTGATTCCTACTAGCTGCGAGGAACTTCAGCGGGACCTGGAAAATGTGCTGGAGCATATGCGCATCATCTTGACGAACCCATCGTTTGTCCCCATCGAGGAGGTGGTGGTGCGCGAGGACGAGATCCATCGCTTGCGCGATGGCTGGGTCAAGATGGAGAGCCGATGGAAAGAGGCAGTTCACTTGATCGATGGCTGGCGCAATAGGATGCAGGTCAGCGGTAAGGCCGTTAACGTGGAAGAACTCAAGATGGGTTTGCGACTTAGCCCGGTCAAGGTTAAGAACGTGGCAGAGACTGCGCATGGGTTGCAGCTGGAGATGCCCAGTGTCAGGGAAGACGAGGATGCAGAAGAGCAGGCGGATCGCGAAGATATCGAGCGGTATCTTGAGAAGGAGAAGGCCGATGCTGCTACCGCCGCCGCTGCCGCCGCCTCTACGAATGCCTCTATCCCAAGATCTCGAGATAGCTCACTCCATCTTGTGCCGGCACCAATGGGAGGTGTGCCTGACGACCCTATGGACGAGGACAGCGAGCAATCGAGCATCTTCGAAGACGACGATATCGATCTGGACGACTTGGAGGACGACGACGAGGAGCCCAACGTGGAGGTTCTTGGGCACTCGTTAATGTTGAGTTCACCGCCGCTTCCTGTGCCACCGCAACTCAGTCCGCTTAAGGATTCGCCTGCGGCAGGTAACAGGGGTGGTTTTGGACAGCCTAACTTGCGTCGAGGAGGCGGAGACTATACCAACGACCTACGGGCAGCCGAAGTAGGCCCTCCTGTACCACCACACGCCGACAAACCGCAGCAGACGAAGAAGTCCATCCGGCCGGTGCGACAAGAAGATGATGATGCTTCAGTTTCTGAAAGGGAACAGTCACGTCCATCTACTGCGCCATCTGCTACATCTCCCGGTAGCATCAAGCTGGTCAAGGCAGAGGCATACGGACCCAAAGCGGCAAGTGCAGCGAGGAAGCGGCCAGGGACAGCCACAACGGTTCCGACAGGCCCCACTACTAGGACGCGGTCACGTACACGTACGGCTGAGTCGGAGCGTGAAGCTCCTGCTCCTGCTGCTACATCTGGTGGGACTGGAAGAACACAGACAACAGCCGCGAGAAAAGCGGCCGCCGATAGGTCTAAACCACCCATCACACGTGCTGCACCCTTCAGTACAGCACCAGGAGCAAGAAGCAAGAGCCAAACCCGATCACTCACATCATCCGGTAAAAGTAAGGAGACCGAGAGCAAGACGGGCCCCAAGTATGTCCCAGGTCATAGGCGAACCAACTCAGAGAAGACGACCTATTCCAACGCCAGCGGCCCTGGCACTCCCGGAAGGGAAAGGGAGGTAGCAGGCAGTAACTCCCGACCTACCACCTCCAGCGGGCTTACCAAGACAAGGGAAGCCACACTTCTTGCCCAATCACCCAAGCTCGCACCATCACCCAGGTTTACCAAGGGCCTAGCCACCGCCAACAACAGCGAGAACGGCAGCTCAACCGATAGCGCGAACCGCAGCGGCGGCGGTGCCATCTCCCAATCCCCTATCATCCCCAACCGCTCGCCCAAGCGAACCGGCAACTCGCGTCTCCCGCTGCCTCGGACAGGGCTCGTTAATACCGCTGCCCTCCAGGCACAGCAGAGCCCACTCAACGTGGCAGCCATCGCCGCAAAGCTAGCCGCTTCTGAACGAGAGGCTGACGCGGCCCGGGTCAGGGCCAAGCTGAAGGCCATGAAGAGGTCAAAACAGGAGAGCGTGGGTCCCTCTCAGTCTCAACGGTCCGCCAATGGCTCCAGCCAGAGACAAAGCAAGAACCAAAGCCAAAGCCAGAATCAAAACCAAAACCAAAACCAAAACGAGAAGCAGTCCGAAGACAACCAAAACACCAACAACAATGGCCGCGCCACCCCCATGGACTGCGACGACAATGACGAAAACGAACTTATCATTGAACGCCACCGCGCCGGCACACCCAGAGGCAGACAAGACAAAACCCCCAAAACAGCCAGCAGAGCGGCCCGCGAACAGGAGGCGGAGCTCTTCGACTTTGAACAAGAAGATGAAGAAGTCGATGAGCTCGCCGGACCGGAAAACCATCACTACAGCATGGGAATGGGTATGGAAAAGTTACATGTGCAGAAGAGAAAGAGAGAGAAGATGAGGACGAGCAGGACGGCCAGCAGGAGGAGGAGTACCCTGAACCCGTGGGAACTGCAGAGTTTGCTTCAGGGGAGTGTCAATGTGCCTCCTTTGATGCCCCCGCCGCCGAATCCAATGACAGCTGGGATGGGGATGACTACTGATGTTGGGATGGAAGGTTAGATTAGGCTGACAAGGCATGGCTAGTTAGGAAAGGTCCAGGGGGTAGATGGTGTCATGGCATGGTTCCATGGTTTGCATTGCTGCATAGTGTTGGTGTTTGTTTTGGTTATTTTTGGTGTGCTGGCTGACCTGACTTGGGTGATTGGTTTGTAACGAAGACTCCGGTCTGGTGAATGATGGTTCTGCCGGGTCTATCCGGCTTTAAAGACGGCCGCCATTTTCATTTTGGTTTTTCCTGCTATGGTATAGGTAAAAGGTATCGTTTAGTTTACCTTTTGATGGCACGCGTGGGCTAATGATGATAATGACTTTTCTATCTGGATTCTGTCTGGTCTAATGTCTAAAATGGTTCACGCCGCTGCCCGGTTGATATGGATGGTTCGTGTAGACCATAAAAGAGCATGATTGCATATAGAAAAGGATGTATGGTTTTGGGATGTAAGGCTCGTCGCGCACTGTTTACCTTGGCGGGATGGATGGAGTGTTTGTAATATCTCTCAACAAAAACCGCCTACTATCTGGATATCTACCTATCATTGGCGTCCATGATCGACGACAATAGTCCACCTCCCAGATAGCAGCATTATTGATTCTTATCTGACTAAGTGTGGCATTAGGGGCTCAAGTCCCGAGTGAATGGGCAGTAATCGCCTTTGCAATGCTACCTTCTTTGACTCATCTCGAATCTGTTCCGTAAAGCTCCGGTAAGATTGGTGATGGAAACGACTTTCATGTTGTCGGCGTTTGGAATCCGGGCAGATGATAGGAGGACGAGGACGGACCGTTGGATGCGGCGCTGCTGCGGGGTAAAGTCAATGACAAATGTGGGGTTTGTTTCCGTCGCCCGCCGTCTCCGAGAGGCCGATAGAGCTCCGGGGGGGCATTCCTCTTCGGGACCACTATCCTCCAAGGAGCAGGCAGTTGTCAACCTATACGGCATCAGAAGTGCTGGTCTATAGCATCTGTAAGTGCTCGTCCTGCAGGAATATCCAATTGCCTCTTCTTACTCGCTCTTCACTTTGGACTTGATGACGATCACGACGTCGACGACACACTCACCCCTTCTTTTACAAGGCTAGAATTTAACTCACGATTGTTGTTTCCTCTTTAGTGATAGTGTGATACCGAAAGACTCCGGGTATAAAGAGAGAGCAAGAGACTGTTGTTGTATCACTCACTTCCGCTCCACCATTCATCCCATAAGCCCTCTCCCATCAGATACCCAAAAGACCTCATCATGGGCTCCTCACAAAAAGACCGCGGCGTACGCATCGCCATCGACAGGGGCGGCACCTTCACAGACTGCGTCGGCAACTACAACGGAGAGGACATTGTCATCAAGCTTCTCTCCGTCGACCCAGCCAACTACGATGATGCGCCCCTCGAGGGTATCCGGCGCATCATGTCGCACTTCCTCAAGAAAGAGATCCCCCGCGGGCAGCCATTAGACACAGCCAAGATCGATTCCATCCGTATGGGCACAACAGTTGCAACCAATGCTCTCCTGGAAAGAAAGGGCGAGAAGATCGCCATGGTGGTCACCAAGGGCTTCAAAGATTGTCTTGTTATCGGCAACCAGTCGAGACCCAAGATCTTCGACTTGGCGATTCGCAAGCCCGAGGTGCTGTACTCAACGGTTGTGGAAGTGGAAGAGCGTGTCACACTCGAAGACTACGCCGAAGATCCAGAACGCCATCTCACCAAGGTAGACGTCAAGGCCGGGACCGCCGAAGCCAAGAACGCCGACCTTGTCATGGGTCTATCAGGAGAAGCCGTCCGGATTCTTCAAAGACCAGAAAAGGAGACCATCCGCGCCAAGCTCCAGGAGATCTACGACAGTGGCATCAGGAGCATAGCCGTATGTCTGATGCACGCGTACACCTTCCCCGACCACGAGGCTCTCGTCGGCGAGGTCGCCCGCGAAATCGGCTTCACCCACATCTCCCTCAGCCACGAGCTCATGCCCATGATCAAGCTCGTCTCGCGCGCCACTTCAGTCTGCGCAGACGCCTACCTCACACCCGCCATCAAGAAGTACATCTCCGGCTTCCAAAAGGGCTTCGTCGGTGGTCTCGGAACCAAGGGTGTCAAGCAGTCAGAAGGTGCTGTAGGTGCTCGCTGCGAATTCATGCAATCCGACGGCGGCCTCGTCGACGTCGACAAGTTCACCGGTCTCAAGGCCATTCTGTCCGGCCCTGCCGGCGGCGTGGTCGGCTACGCCATCACCTCATACGACGAAAACACCAAGATCCCCGTCATCGGTTTCGACATGGGCGGCACCAGCACGGACGTGTCCCGCTATGGCGAGGGCCGGTACGATCACACCTTCGAGACCACCACGGCTGGCGTAACCATCCAGTCGCCGCAGCTCGACATCAACACCGTCGCTGCCGGTGGTGGTTCCATCCTCTTCTTCCGCAACGGTCTGTTCGTCGTCGGCCCGGAGTCTGCTAGCGCTCACCCTGGTCCTGCGTGCTACCGCAAGGGTGGCCCGGCAACCGTTACCGATGCCAACTTGTTCCTGGGCAGACTCTTGCCTGAGTTCTTTCCCAAGATCTTCGGCAAGAACGAGGATGAAGGGTTGGACCCGGAGGCTAGTAGGATCAAGATCCAGGAACTGGCGGACCAGATCAAGGCTGAGACGGGCAAGGAGATGGATCTTGACGAGGTCGCGTACGGCTTCCTGACGGTGGCTAATGAGGCCATGACTAGGCCCATCAGGAGCATCACTGAGGCCAAGGGTCACGATACTTCCAAGCACCGTCTTGCTACTTTTGGTGGTGCCGGTGGTCAGCATGCTGTTGCTATCGCCGAGTCTTTGGGCATCAAGCAGATCCTCATCCACCGTTACTCTTCCGTCTTGTCGGCCTACGGCATGGCTTTGGCTGACGTGGTTGATGAGCGCCAGGAGCCTGACTCTTCTGTCTGGAAGGCTGATGACCAGTCCGTCATCCAGGGGCTCAAGGACAAGATGGAGGCTCTCAAGGAAAAGTCCCGCCAGGCGCTACGTGATCAAGGGTTTGAGGACGACCAGATCGTGTTCGAGGAGTACCTCAACATGCGCTACCGCGGAACCGAGTCGACGCTGATGATCATCAAGCCGACCGCCGAGGAAGCCGAGAAGCACTATAACGGTAACGACTGGGACTTTGCCAGCGCGTTTGTGCGCCACCACAGATACGAGTTCGGCTTCACGCTGGAGGAGCGCGACATTGTTGTTGATGATGTCCGTGTCAGAGGCATTGGCAAGAGCTTCCGGTATGAGGAGAAGAGTGTCGATGAGCAGCTCAAGACGATTCAGAAGAAGGATGTGGATGTCAAGAACACGCACAGCACTGCCAAGGTGTACTTTGAGAATGGACGGATGGATACGCCCATCTACAAGCTCGGAGATCTCAGCGTCGGCACTGTGATTAAGGGCCCGGCCATGCTGGCTGATGGCACACAGACTATCGTGGTCACACCCAAGAGCACTGCCCTGGTGCTGGAGACCCACGTTGTGGTTGATATCGAGGAGACGGATAAGAACAAGGATCAGAAGGGAGATGGCGAGCGCGAGGTTGATCCAATTATGCTCAGTATCTTTGGCCATAGGTTCATGGCTATTGCCGAGCAGATGGGCATGGCTCTGCAGAAGACGAGTGTCAGTACGAACGTCAAGGAGCGTCTCGACTTTTCGTGTGCCATCTTTGATGCCAACGGCGGTCTTGTTGCCAACGCTCCTCATTTGCCCGTCCACTTGGGTGAGTATCCCCGATTCCTCAACGAATGTTTCTTGGCTGATGATTTCTAGGTTCCATGTCCACCTGCGTTCGCCGTCAAGCAGAGATCTGGAAGGGTAAGCTGCGCAAGGGCGATGTTCTCATGACCAACCACCCCTCTTATGGCGGTACTCACCTTCCCGACGTCACCCTGATCATGCCTGCCTTCAACGCAGCCGGCGACAAGATTCTCTTCTACGCCGCCTCGCGTGCTCACCACGCCGACATTGGCGGTATCACCGCCGGCAGCATGCCTCCCCACTCCCGCGAGCTCTACCAGGAGGGCGCCGCCGTCAAGAGCGAGAAGCTGGTTTCAGAGGGCAAGTTCAACGAAGACCGTGTCATCGAGCTCTTCCACAAGGAACCCGCCCAGTACCCCGGCTGCAGCGGCACTCGCTGTCTCGCCGACAACATCAACGACCTGCGCGCCCAAGTGTCCGCCAACCAAAAGGGCATCTCCCTCATCGAGACCCTGATCGCGGAATACGGTGAAGACACCGTGCAATTCTACATGGTCGCCATCCAAAACAACGCCGAGCAACAAGTCCGCAACCTCCTGCGCACCGTCCACAAGCGCTTCCAAGGCCGCGACCTCTCCGCCATCGACTACATGGACGACGGCAGCCCTATCCAGCTCAAGGTGACCATCGACCCAGAAGCAGGCGAAGCCGTCTTCGACTTTGCCGGCACCGGCCCCGAAGTGTACGCCAACATCAACGCGCCCGAAGCCATCTCCTACTCGGCCATCATCTACACCCTCCGCTGCATGATCTCGGAGGACATCCCGCTGAACCAGGGCTGTCTGAAGCCCGTGACCGTCAAAATCCCGCCCAAGTCTCTCTTGTCCCCTTCCGACAACGCCGCCGTTGTGGGCGGCAACGTGCTCACCTCGCAGCGCATCACGGACGTCATCTTCAAGGCCTTCCAGGCGTGCGCCGCCTCGCAAGGGTGCTGCAACAACCTCACTTTTGGCTTTGGCGGCAACGTCGCAGGCGAGGAGGAGGTGAAAGGATTTGGATACTACGAGACCATCGCCGGTGGCTCGGGTGCCGGCCCGACATGGGAGGGAACGGATGGTGTGCATGTGCACATGACCAACACGCGGATTACGGACTCGGAGATTTTCGAGCGTCGATACCCCGTTTTGTTGCGCGAGTTTTCCATTCGGAAGGGGTCGGGAGGAAAAGGTAAACACCGCGGTGGCGATGGCGTGGTGCGCGATATTGAGTTCCGACTCCCGTTGCAGGTCAGCATCCTTTCGGAACGAAGAGTGTACAGACCGTATGGTCTGGCGGGCGGCGAGGATGCGCAGTGCGGGTTGAATTTGTGGGTGAGGAAGGTGAAGAAGGCGCGGTGGGAGGATACGTTGCGCAAGATCCAGAATGGGGAGCAGGACCAGCAGGAGGAGGAGGAGAAGGAAGTGGGGGGTGAGGCCGAGGGTTATGAAGAGAGAGTGATCAATATGGGCGCGAAGAACAGTGCGCCGATGAAGGCGGGCGATAGGATCATTATTTGCACGCCTGGTGGTGGTGGATGGGGAAAGAGTGGTGAGGAGAGGGAGTTGGATGAGACTCGGGATCCGATGGGCAACTGGAAGATGGGAAGTCATGCGGCAAGGATGGATATGGCGCTGCAGGCTTGATTTGGTGGTTGATGTTAGGGACCTGATGAGTGGTGAGGTGAAGAAGAAGAAGAAGAAGAAGAAGAAAAAGCTGTAAGCGCTCAGCGGGAATCTTCTGTATGTATTTTCCAAGTATGTATGTATAGCAAACGAATATGAACATAATATGTACCAACCCGTCCGGGACTCAAAGAATACAAACGCCACCATCCATCAACCAAGTCAAGATCGCTCAAAGCTTGAACCTGAACCCCTCAACATTGATGGCCCCGTCCACCCACTCTCCCCTCGCCAACTTCTTATTTTGCCTGCTCAGAATCATCCTCATCGCCGTTGCCGCACACACCGCAACAAACGCCGTAACACAGTTCACCACCATGGCCACCGTGTAATGCGGCGCCGCGCTATTCGGATACAGATAGCTGGCGTAGATACTACTGAAGCTACCGACCGCATTGATAAAGGCCAGTGCCGCCGCTCTCTTCGCCGGCGGTCTGGGCATGGTATTCGAGACCCACGATATGGCCACCACGAAGCTGGAGTAGACCGAAGGGACCATGAGCATCATGCTCAGATAGCGGGGGGCAACATGCGTCGTGGTCGCGGCGATGATGTACGCCACAATGGCGACGCACATGGGGACGGCAATGTGGAAGTATCGCTCGCCCGTCTTGTCGGCGTGCCAGGCGTTGGCGAAGGTGACAATGACAGCCAAAACGTAGGGCGGCGCGGTGAGCAGGAGGGAGTGAATCCTGCTGTAGCCGAGGGTTTGGACGACGGTGGGGAAGAAGTTGGTGACGGTGCCGGAGGCGACAATGCAGAAGAGGAGGACCATCTAATCGTCGTCGTCGTCCATGTTAGTTTCCGACTTTGCCACACAAACATACGGGGAGATACACGTGGGGGGGATGGAATACTAACCAAAACATAAGTCCTGAAATCCGTAAACGCCATCTTAGCCCCCTGCCAAAAAGTCTGCTTCTCCCCTCCCACCCAATCATCCACGCCTACATCCTCTTCTAACCTCCAAACCGCCAGCGACTTCTCTTCCTCCGTCAACCAGCTCGTCGTCCTGGGGAAATTCGGCAGCACAAAGAAACACGCAAAAGCGACGAAAATGGTCGCCGATCCTTCGAGGATGAACAGCCACTGCCAGGCATGAAACCCCCTTGCTCCATCCAATCCGGATACCACGCCCGCTGTGATCAGACCGGAAAAGGCACCTGATAAGAGGGAGCCCGAGTATAAGATGGCGGTACGCAAGCCAAGCTCGGAGCGCGTGTACCAGCAAGAGAGGTAGTACAGACAACCCGGGAAATAGGCGGCTTCGACGAAGCCGAGGAGGAAACGGACGACGTAAAGGCCGGTGACGGAGGTGCAGGCGGAGGTGGCGGCGGAGATGGTGCCCCAGACTATCATCTGTTGAGTGGGTTAGTCAGAGAGTAATAGAGGAGGATACAAAGATGGTGAAAAGAGAAAGTGAAGGGAGGAAAGGAAAGAAGGAAGTGACCTACGCAACAAGGAAGATAAATGGCCGGTTTTCCAAACTTGTTGAGAAACAAGTTGGATGGGAGTTGCATCAGGAGGTAGCCGACAAAGAGGATGCTGACGGAGGTTTGGTACTGGACGGAGGAAAGGTTGAGGTCGCGTTCGAGGTTGGCGAGTTTGGCGGCAGCGATGTTGTTTCTGTTGTGTGGTGTATGTGTCAGTGAGTGACTGTCTTCTTTTTCCATCCAATTCTTCCCATGCCATATCTCCAATCTCCCTTTCTCCCGATATATACCGGATCACCCATATGATCCAGGTAACGGACGCAAAGCAAAGAGAATACTGACATACCGATCAATATAGTTCAAGAAATACATAATCAATACAGCCGGCATCAACCTCCAGTCAATCTTCCTCTTCAACTTCTTCTCCAGGTCCTGGCGCTCTGCTGGACTCAGGGCTGCAATCCAAGACGGTGGCCGAAGGGCATTGTTATGATCAGGGTGATCATGGGAGGAAGGACTTTCGGTAAGTTCAATGTTCTGGACGTCCACGACCTTGGTACAGTCGCCGTGTGATTTTGTTGCAGACATGTCAATCTTGGGATACACTGTTGGCTTTGTCATGTTGAGTGGTTGAGGGCGTGGCTCTTAAACTGTGAGACTTCGGAAACAGGCGGCAGTTGGAATCTCTACTTGTTCAAAGAAAGCGGCAGCAAGACTGGTTTATATACTCGATATGCTCGTCTCCTTCGTCCCAATGTAAGTCAGGTAGGTTAGTAACCACTGGCAATGAATGATACTCCACGACATGTCGAGCTAATCCCTAACCGAGCTTGGTGATCGTTGCATCCCGAAGATCGTATCGTGGCAAAATCCCGGGTGTAGATCCGGGGTAGAAGCTTACAAGGCTAGGGTTCGAGCAAGGAACAAGGAGGAGGAGGAGGAGGAGGAGGAGGAGGAGGAGGAGAACTACAATCTTTCTAAATTAGTACCTCATCGCTTATCTCTTTCGTTCTTATTTTCCTTCACTCCTCAAGTACTTGATTTCCGCGCATAGTACTCAGTTGTATGTACATGACGGGTTTCCATGACATATGCCCGTCGAAGCATTGCATTGCACCGAACCGCAATCTTGCTCTTGCTCTCTCCGAAATCTGGCAGTACCACAGACAGCACTAGGGCGCTTTGTGATGATGGAGGATCGACGAGAATTGCTAGGTAGGTAACGTTCCAGACCTAGGATGGGACAGATGAGCTGACGACTAGTTGAGGAGCTGATGACCCTGATGAAGCTCTTCGGCCCCGCGATGTTTGAAACAGCTTCTCGCCACTTATACTTTGCGGCCCATTTCTCCGCCAAGTGGATGGGGATAGGCGAAGGAAGATGGAGATCTTCAGTAGGTAGTGAGCCGAACCTTCCTATCTTCGCCTCTGTCTTGTGTTCAGTCGACAATGTCGAGCCGACTTTGTCCTTTTTAGTTGCACCTACCGCTTCCATCAGGATGTCAGCAGGACCACCACCATCGATGTTATCACTTTCCTTTCCAACCTAGCGTGGAAATATTTTCCGTTCTTGGTAGGAATTAAGTATTGTAGTACCGACCTAGATCCAGATGAAGATCGGAGCGCTTGTTGCGCGGAAGGTGGGGGATTCTATGAGGTTGGAGACATTTGGAGGACAAGGAACCATCGTCAGCGTGGAGAACAAAACATGAACGTGATGTGGTTGACTTGCATGGTTCCTGATTCTCGATGCCGAATTGGAATAAAACAAGACCAAATCTGCCGGAATTATGGTCGGACCATGCAAACTCCTGATCACGATAGCTTCATTGAACATATCAGAAAGCTTCGGACTTGACCCACCGTTCAGGAATCAAAAGTATGTATGTAAGTCTCATCCAACGTAGCATACAAGCCAGGTGAGGGCCTGGCCAAAACTTGCCTTGCTTTCGTTGTGCATACTTGCCGTCTTGCCTTGCTTTGTAATTTCTCATACTTGCCGTCTTGCCTTGGTGACAGCTTGCATAAATCTTTGCACATACCCGACACTACATATTTTGCCCCGACTTGCCGGATTACCGAACGTACCAAAACGCACTTTCAATGAGGTAGACGGGTATGACCTTACCTTGGCTTGGCTTACCCTGTGTGCCAGACAGGTCTCATATCCTCCTTCTAGCGCTCTTCGAAGCAGGAATGATACCGTTCAACCACCAATGCGCAATGCTCACGGAGTGCACTCCACCAATGACAAAGTTTCACATCCACACGCCATGTGCAATGATGAATGCACGTACGTACTGCCTGCGCGGTGAAGGGCACGTTACCAACGACATGGAGCCTGTTACATTTCGCGTCTATCAAAGATCTCAGTTTCGCGGTCCAGAACGGTCCAAATAGACTTCGCTACTTACATATGGTCAAACAAAGCCTGGAGAAAGCCAGGAAGATACGACTGTCGTTCACGTGCTCAAAACTAGTTTCATTCACTGAGCCGCCTACGACTATGGCTCTTGGGTTTCTGGTTCCTGCGTATCGGTTATGACATCAGCCCCACCACGTCCAACCTGAGCACTCCCCCAAGTAAATATCCCAGCTTTTAGGCCTGCAGGATACAAAAGACTGCGCCACATGTGGCGGTGGACTGGATGGAGGACACATCGAAACTAGCTGGAACACTTAAATTTGGTTAAGTCTTGGGGACTGTCAATGTGTGTTTGAGCTTGAGAAACGGGCATCTGTCACACTGTAATCATCAACCAAATCGTTACCTACCTATTAACTTTTTGCTCTGCAATTGGTGGCGGTTAAATTGGAGTTACACTGAGTTGGGGGACAACTTCATGACCTAGATGATATCCCAAGATATGCACCATGTGTTTATCGGACAGCGTGCTAGGGAGTAATGAATTTTCTACATGTTTTTTTTTTGGCGTATATCTAGTTTCCGCAAAGATGACTGCAAGTTGGTCGTCTCAAAATCAGATTTAAGTCTATCTCCTCCCAATGGGTATCCCAAATAGCGTTCAACCACCATAGCTTGATCATTTTAATGCCAACCGTCAACATCATGACGGGCAGTCTGATATGTCTCTGTAGGTGAAAAAAAAACGAAGCCTCCACGCTCCCAAGTCATCCCCGAGATGTGTAGATGCAGCATTAAAGCCAACCCAACGAAACAAATGTGTGATGCCGTGTCTTCCTCCAACGAGAGAAAGAGTCCTAATTTCAAAGCCAGTCTAGCACTGAAAAACTCGACCATCAAAACACTGCTGGTGCATGATGAGACATGACATGGTATAGAAGAGAATGATGAGGCCCGGCCCCATACTCTCTAAACGTGGGCGTATCTTGTATGTCGAATTGCTTCCATGTAAAATGATCTTCCCAACCCGTACTGCGAATGTTTCCTCCTGTTCAACAAGTCAAGGAGCATTAGTCATGTTTGTTGATGGTGTCCAACAGTGTAGGCTGCGGTAAGTATATGCAAAGGGTACAAAGGCATCAGCAACCCATTAGCCAGAACTGAAGGCCCAGAATCAGTGAAAGAAAACCAAAGGTGTGAACATAGCGACCGCAAGCTATTAATCAATTGTCGGGGCATCTCAATCTGCGTCTGCCAACTGCATGATGAGTTTGGCCGCCATATCAAGGAAGGGGAAGGGGCTCGTGACTTCCTTATCCTCTAGAAGCTTTCCATCAGGGGTCTCGTAGCCGTCTACCTTGAAATCGACAAGATAGACGCCGTGCTCCATTTCGTATATCTGGATCTCCATACGCATGGCCACAACCTGGTATTTGCTGTCGCTGCCATCCCGGCTAACATGCATGTTCTCTCCTGCTTCGCTGAGGCCGGAGGCAACCGAATGCTTTTTGAGTTCTGACAACTATGTTAGCCAAACTCTGCCACGTAGGGCGGACCGACCGCAAACTCACTATCAGTTGTCCACCGAATCTTAATATGCCAGGGGTCCGCAGGAAGTCTATATGTCTTGGTGGGATCCATGCTGGATGATGACTTCTTGCGGGCCCCGATACTAGGCCCATCATAGTCATCAGTGTCGTCATCGTCCCGGTGGGCTCTTTCGTAGTCTTCATCGACAATCCACCCAGCGCCAAGCTTGTTTAGCGCCTTGTAGATACACACCAGCGCCTCCCAAGGAGCGTTCCGGGATCGAATACCAAATTGCCATCGAGCAGGCTTGTTCTTCTTGGGCGGGTGGACGGGGGTCAGTCCTTGTGGGCGCTTGTTGGCCTCGTCAAGGCGAAGTTGACTCCTCGAATGTGGCTTGAGTCTTCGGATGGTCTCTTCTTGTTCGGCTTGGCTGCGTGGCTGATTTGCCGGCTCAACAATGGTGGGGATGGCATCAGGGGGCTCAAGACCTTCGGCCTTGGCCTTCTCTCGCTCCATAAAGACCCTGTGGTAGGTAGGAAGACTGCTAGGCAAAATACCGATCTTGCTGACATATGGCCGCGGTGAAGTTGATGTGCTAACGGATGCGATCGAGCGAGCTGATGACATATTCGGGTCATGGAGCGGACTCGGGACAGACTCCTCTGTCGTGAGGCCTGGAATTTCTTCATCGGTTTTTAGTAGGGTATCCTGGTATTCCTCATTGGTGTTGCTCCAAAAGGACGATGGTCGCAAACTCAAGGATTTGCTTTTTTTGCGTCAAGCGATGTTCACCACTAGGCAAGTGTAAAAAGGACGCCGAAGGAGAATGGGACGTGGCAAAATCAACTGCGAAAGAAGGACAAAACGGACGAGTATAGCATCGCAAAGGGATCGATAGGTTCCAAAGATGAGAAGACAAAAGACTTGCTGGGAGGGAGCGTAGACTCACGGTTACTCTGCATCAGCTTGTTCTCACGCACGATCATGTAGGCATCTTTGATGGCCGAGGGTTCATCGGCTTCCAAGGCCTCTTCGACATCTCTCTTGCCGTAGCCCATAGTTTTACTGATCTTCTCCGTGACCTCATTATGCAGCTTCTCCTGTTCCTGCGGAGGGGCATTCGGTGCAATGTCGCTAACCTTGATGGCCTTGTTGGGGTCCACGCCAGTATTGAGGAACTCCTCGACAGGAGGGTGAAGGTAAGCCGGCAGATCCTTGAGGAACCACGGGTCCTGGCGGATTTCGTCAATTGTGGCACGTTGAACAGGGTTGACGACCAACATCTTCTTGATTAGTGACGCCGCGCCGGGACTCATCCATGTGGGCACCATGTAGCTTCCACGCGCAATTTTGGCAAAAAGACTGGGGATATGCTCGTCGTCGAAAGGGAGGCGCCCGACGAGTAGGACGTAAAGAATGACACCGCAACTCCAGACATCGACTTCAGGTCCTGCGTAAAGCTTGCCGCCAATGACCTCGGGAGCCGCGTAATTGGGAGAGCCGCAGCTGGTCTTGAGGAAGTTACCGTCGGTCATAATATTGCTGAGACCAAAATCGGCAATTTTGACATTGAGATTATCGTCCAGCAAGAGGTTTTCGGGCTTTAGGTCGCGATGAACGATCTTGTGACGATGACAGTATTCGACGGCGCATAGCATCTGCTGAAAGAAGCGGCGGGCTTCGTCCTCCTTCATCTTTCCATGTTGAACAATGTAATCGAACAATTCGCCGCCGGCATACTCTAGCACCATGATGATCTCGGTTGGTGTTTTGATGACGGTGTACCTGGTATGCGCGCCGGGTTAGCCAACGTGTACTTGAAGGATCAGAGCCAACGTCTGCGCATGGGTGTCGAGGGGTGCCTTACAGCTTGATGATATGGGGATGCCTTAGCAATTGAAGATACTCAATCTCGCGCTCTACGCGACCTTGCATGTCGCGGCTGATGAGCTTCTTGCGGGCGATGATCTTGAGAGCGACCTGCTGGCCGGTGCTGCGATGGACAGCCAGCTTGACCTTTCCGAAGCTGCCTTCGCCGAGCGTCTTGACAATGTTATAAGCACCGATGCGCTGCTCGGTGCGCATCTTGTCGCGGAGGGGTGCGTCGGCCATGACGGCGTTGATATTAGGGTGTAATTGCTGACCGTGTTGGCCGTATTCGTGGAGGTTGCCGGTACTGGGGCCGAAACCTGATGCGCCATCGCCGGATCGCTTATTGCGACTTCGGATCTGAGAAGGAGACAAGGAGATGGAAAGCTCCTCGTCATCGTAGGCCTGTGCCATGGCGGATGGAGTCGCTTGCAACACAAGTGGACGACACTGAATCGCGGATGGGAGGTCGTTCGTTTCGTCTGACCAGATGTCGTCCGACTGGATGGTGAAGACGGCGAATGGGGAATGGAGGAACCGCGATGGCCCCTCGATTGAATCCTGGGAGCGGGAGCGAACAGACTCCAGAGGTTGGAGCTAATGAAGCTAGGTACGTCAAGTCAAGGCTCGGTGGGCTATCTGTGTCGTAGCGTCGTCGGTCGATGTAAGGTACCGCCTTGCTTGTTCAGGAGAACATCATGTATCGGATGCGCATTCGGTCGGTGTTCGGTTGTCAGCCGACAAGAATCAGCAATCGCGGTGGACGGCAGTGGGCAATCAAGTGGGTGTTGGAGCTGTTAGGTTAGGAGGAAGTGGACAAGCGAACACTGCAGCGGGGCAACAATCAAGAGATGGTGTAATGGAAAACGGGGTGGAAGGAGTCGGGCGGGGATCTGGGGTGAAGAATGGGGGAATTAGTGGAGGATTTGGGAGGATGCAGGGACGACATACGGCAGCATCGCGGGGTCAGAGCGCTCCGGAAAGCGGCCACCTTAACTTACAACGGGGCTGCCGAGCCGGACGGAAAGTTCCATCATTCATCAGCTACCTAGGTAGGTACCTCTACCTACGTACTTCATGTTTCGTTACTACCGCCTGGCCGAGGGCAGGTCATCCGGCTCGGTCACAGGACCATTGTCACAAGGCCGATAAAAGCCTTGTGTACACACGTGTCTACCACACATTATGGCCCAAAATGGTAGCAAGTCACAATTACAAAGACTAGTCTATACGATGTTCTCGTGTATAGAATACTAAAGGATTCAATTGTAAGCCGGGCTGGTCTTCGATCCCATGTACGGATCGCTGGTCTTGAATTGTGGATGTTTGGTACAATGAGAACCTCAATGGACAATCGCGCCGGCTTTTGGTTAGCATCATCCGGATAGCAAGGTACCTGCCCAAGCTTCACCCAAAGCCGCGATCTAGATGTGTAATCAAAATGACGACTAAACTCTCATATGTCATCCATGGAATTGTTTACCTAGCCAACATCTAGCGAAAGTCATTCACTACCCACCTGCGACTGCCTTACGCCCACCATGGCGACAACACAGACTGCAGAGGAACTCCCCAATACCACGATGCGACGGCCATCGCTCCCACGCTCATGCCAAATGCCATCAAGAAGTTGACATCATTGTTATCAAGCAAGTCCCAGCCGTTCTCCACCACTCGCGACGGCCTCTCGTCTCCAAAGCTCGATCTCCGCTGCTTGTTGCGCGGATCGTACTTGTTACCGGAAGCGGCGCCGACATCCTCCACCGCATCCGTCCCCTCGCCAGACAGAAGAGACGACTTGATCTCAGCCTTAGTACGACCGGCAACGTTGTTGGGGTTCGTAGCGTTGGAAACCAGTACCCTCACGCCACCCTCGCCCTCGACAATCTTGCCGGTACGCACATCCTTGACACTGGCCTGGAAGAGCCCGCCCAAAATGCTGTCCACAACGCTGCCCAAGAAACCCCAGACGGTGAGACCGAGAATAAGCATACGGCGCTGTCCCAGTGACCAGCCCGCGGCGCCGCCAAGTCTCGTAGCCGTCTCGTCAGTGCAAAGAGGCAGAAGAAGCATGGACGCCGTAACGATGATCATGCTGCCCAACAGGCCAGCGCCAAGACCGACGAGGGAAACGCCGCCGTTGGTGCCGCGCGGTACCTTGCGCAAGTTCCAGCTTGTGATTAGGCGCGGCTCGCCCTTGGACAGAATGCCCAGCTCGGAGCTAAAGGTGTCGGCCGCAACACAGGCATAATTGGCAATGATACCAATCACCAACAAATCGCCGCCCCAGGAGAAGCAAAGGCTACCGGTCCCGGTGCTGGTGGGATTAGCGATCAGCGCCTGCTTGCGCACATGGAGCTGATAAGCGTGGAGCAGAGAGAAGATGGAAGCCGTGAGCGAGTTGGCGAACACTTGGGTGTGATTTCTCGGGCCCTCGCCGCCGGACGTGCCCTTGGAGTGTACTGTGAGCTTGGCCTTGACGTTTTCCTTTACCTAGCCGGGGAAAGAGGTCGATATTAGCTAACTTGTGCCGCCCCTGGGTAGAGCTTCAGACTTACATGCGTTACCCGCGTTCCCGCCAGGAAGAACACGACGAGCAGAGCAAAGGGAAGATTCCAAGGGTGAACTGCGTGTGCAATGGCCGTAAGGAGAGCAGCAAAGATGCCGCCGGGTGTCAACGACTTCTTGGAGTAAGCCCTGTAACAGAGCGCCGCGATCGCGGGCACGGCGATTTCAACTCTCATGCTGCCGCTACAAATTTGGTGTAATTTTTCTTGAGCGGGTACTCGGTTGTAGCAGATGAGGTTTGGTCTCTGATGTTGTAGTAGTTTTTCTCCTTAAAGAATGTTGTTTTTAGGCAGAATACAATGGCTATCTCATTGTTGCTGGCAACTCGTGCAATCAGCTGTTTCGTTGTGACTTTGTGTTGCTGGCAACAAGTTGAACCTCACCCAACTCATGTCATCATTCAGAAGGCCGATCGATCCCCGGGCCTGTTCAGCACTTGAAGGCCCCCTGTAGCAAAGTCCCACCGCCTTCCTTGTTGGGTAAATGCACCTTGGCCAACCCCACTGCACCCGGCTGGAAAGAGGAGTTGGGAGTGGCTGGTAAGTCCGACTTCATGGTCGAAGTCTTGGCATCGCATCCCGTCCCACCTGATGATCTTCGACGGACAATGTCAGCTTCACATCAGCTTCGCTTGTTACTTGTGCTTCCATTCTTCCATGCTTCCATCGGACAGCGGAATCATACGAGAATAGAAACCAAGACGTGTTACCACATCAACGGGTTCTTCACCAATATTGATATATATGGCCACAAAGATCGCCAAGATTGTTTTGGACAACATCAACAAAAATTTTCTTTTGTCTGTTTCGTCATGGCAACAGAGGCCGTCTATTGGAACTGTGGACTTTGTTTTCTTCTCTAATTTACGTTACCTACCCTGCACTTACATCCTGTTAATGAGACCTTCACTCGATATGCCACTAACATCCTCTCCCCCTTTGCTATCTATCACTTCTCATACCCATGCCCTGTTATCGTTGTTCTTTTTTTCCCTCATGTTTGTTTGCTGCGATTGGTACGTGCTCGACGATGCTAACCCGCACCATTTACTTCTTTCTTTTTTTCTTCTTTTTGATTTTCCGCTTTGGCTTGTTGGACGTCCATGACCTTGACTCATCATCCGTTTTCCCATTTGTACCCACCATAACTCCGCAATAACTTCAAAGTCAACATTCAACATTCTGCCACGACGGTGAGAGCAGACTAGTTCAGGTCCTTGGGATTATTACTAGTTCAACGAGTGTGTGTTGAGGGTTTCCAAAGTCTTCTCCTGACCTACTGCTTCCAAGTTCTCACTTGCCCATCAAGCTTCGGCCAGTACTAATGAGTACCTCCCACTTCGGGTCAATTCCAGTATCAAACCGCGGGTAATAATGCTTCAAGGATGTTCTTCCTTTTCTTTGTTGACTCCTGAAGACTTCTCGACCACACTGAAAGGCACGACGAAGCTTTCCTTTTCCTGCTGCACATTGGATCAGTCGATCCCATAAAGCTTTCCACTCTGGATCCTGCCATTCTTTTCCTACGCAAACACATACACAATACCTCTATGTATGCCTTCGAATCAGCTGTATCGAAGTTGAAGAACCGAGTGGGTCAGCCGCCTGGTTTTTGAAGTCCGTTTCATGTCGGGTCTTGGTCTAGAGATTCACCAACAGGTGGTTTTCATGTCGTTCGACGCATGAGAAGTGGTATTCGAGTTCGTTCCTTCCACCTCCAGGTTTTTCGGCTCGGGGACTTCATGCTTGTCCGCACGCTGTTGAAGTTGAGAAAGTGCGAGTGACGTATCCGACCGGCCTGCAAATTAATTACCACCACGCCGTCACGGCCCGAGAGCCAAATCCCGTGCTCATGATCCAGTCACAGTACCTATCATCATATCCACCACCATAACCCCAGAAGGACGTTTCCATGACTGTTCGGATCAGCGCAGAATTCGTCCTGATGACTCTTGCTCAATTCCGGTCCAAGGTGTGTGTATCCTTTAATCCTTTCCCGAGATCTTGCTGACCCAGATAGACCTCATAACCATTTCCCCTCTTTTGGAAGACCCCTTGGATAATGTTTCAGATGTACTTGACGAGACGCATGGGCTGAAACCTTCGAAGGCATTATCGATCGTCGCAGCGTCGACCCTTCGTCTCCATCTGCCAGTTTAGAGGTATTCCCCTCGCTTCTTTTCACTTTGCTCGTCTGTCTCCAAAATGCATATCGCCCCCCTCTGGTTGTTGCTCATATCGCACGGGTACTGTTGTTCACCATTGTCTCCAAGCGGAACCAGCGGGATGTGTCAAGCTGGATGGCAGGTTGGCTCGTGGATGATGCTTCAGCTTCGGGTCCTGTTCGATCCAATCCACTTTCCCACTTCCTTGTCCATCACCTCCTTCTGATCGTTTGATGGTATCCGGGAAGAGTTGCTGGTGTGTCGGTATTGTTCTCACTTCCCCCAGCCGAGGATAGGTTCGATGAATGCATTGTGGGAGTTATTGTTTTCGAACACCGAACACCGAACATATCCCTGAAGCCACCAGGGTCACGCCATGATCTCTTTTCATTCTTTGCCAGCTGCCAGTCGAAGTCGTCAAGGGCTGTCGAGGATGATGTTGTTGAAGGTGGAGCACTTGAGTGTCGTCGCCATTAATCGGATGATTTGGTAAATGCATCTAGCTCGCGCCAAACGAGGAGGCGAGTCATTCTTCCGAAATCATCTCCCAATTGATGACCAGTGTCGAGCAGGGGGCGAAGGTACTCCTTATATTCCTTTCTCGCTCTCCGTCTAGCACGTTAGAGAAACCTCCATCTTTCATGCTTGATGAATGTAGTGGTACATGCCGGCACATCTATGTTGCACTCGGGTATTTGCAAGAAGTCGTCCGAGTGTGCCAACGCCGAAAGGGATGAAGAGAGCAAATGAGAGGGAAGTCACCTAATTCATGAAAAGGACATCATTTCCACATATTGAAAATAATGAGGGATGGTCCGGAGCCAGTCTGGTACCCCATTTATCCTTTCATCATCCATCCAGTCTGCCGAACCACGATCGTCCCCTTCTGTAAACGCCCACGTTCGCACTCTCTTGGTTTTCCAATCGTATGTGCCGCCTCCCCTCCCCCCTCCCCAAAGATATCCCGAAAGTCGTGCATTCACTCGCTCGGACGGTTGATTCCGTGTACTCCACTTTGAGGACGCGTACGCATTCTCACCTCTTCCCGGAAGGACGCAGATCATGGCTGTAGCTGAGATTGGCAGGAGGATGTAGTGGGGAGAGCATGGAGGGACCAACGTCGGGGAATCGGTGGTCGGAGAAAATGATGAATGAGTCCAGACAAAGGGTTGCAGAAGAAGAAAGAAAGAGAACGGAATCGCGGAGAGATACGTACATCCATATAACACGACAGGCGTTCTATTCATTAACCTCGTGCCAGTATGTACCCGTTGGCCGTTGTGCTCGCTACCGGCTGTCCGATCGTTGCTGAGATACCCGAAGCACGCATAGTTGTTCTTTCGTTTACCGCTGCGGTGACGCCTATCACAACAGTCTGATCTCCCGCCCTCCGCTTTCTACCACACACATTTGAGCGGATTCGTAGGCTACCACCATCACAGCCCCCGCACTTGACAGTCAGGAAGAAGAGCAGGTCTCGGAGATGGAAAGAAGGATATTAAGACGAGCATGCAGACCGAAGTCCATACGTTCGCCCGACCAATTCAGCTTCCGAAGGGTCCAGATTCTAAAGATGAATGAGAGAAGTCCTGAGAAGACTTCGGGTGGACAGCCAGCCCAAGCAGAACGGGTCACTCAATCCTGTCTGTAAAAAAACGTGTCCCTTTCCGCATGCCCGCCTGTTTTATTAGGAAAATGGCACCCCGCGCAATTCACCCTGCCAACGACGTTCGAAGGGATGAACTAAACCGACGGATGAAGATCGAACGCTCTTCACCAAGGAAGCCCGCGAAACAGTTCGTCCGGACACACACATGGCAGATACAACATATAAGCCCTGTACGGAGGGATGACGCGTTCGCATAGTTGATGGCTTCATGGTTACATAGTGGCTTGCGGGATGTTCCATGGCATAGCATGACATACATCGTCATGTCTCGAATGACCCCCTTCGGCCTCGAAGTGTGTGCTCAATGCGAAACAAAACGAAACGGGGAAAGAGCAACAGCAACAATCAAGCGAGAAGCAAGAGGAGGTTTCTTCCAACTTGGAGGAAAGGAGGACCCAAAGTGTACCATTTACCTGCCAAGGGAGATGCGAGTTGGCAGGGAAGCGAATTGTTTCCCCGCGCGGCGGCTTCTGGCTGCCCGTGGCCTCAATCATCACCGGCTTCCCCCAACCTTGACCGAAATTGATATTGATGTGATGTTGAACAGCTTGATATTACTCCTCACTGCTTGAACAGGTCTTCCCCAAGGCCGTTCGGGGGCAATTCTAGCCCTGACGAGTAGCTGGCTGGTTTGGCTATTGGCAATGATAAGGATATCGATTCTATGCGCATTTGCTTCCCTTTGTACCTTGAAGCTACCCGGCTTCGAAGGATTCAGTATTCAAGGCGCAAATGGACGGATCAGTAACACATGGGACTCGGGCAGTCTTGAACCTTGATGGCAATATCGACATACAACTGTTATTGAGGCAAGTTCTGCCCAGTGATTTTTATTGCTACTTCCTTCTTTACTGGGCGGCTATCCTGCGCTTAGACTACAACCTACTGTCAATCCTCACAAGGTGTTATGGGTGGCTCCTTCCATTTTATTTTTATTCTTTATCTCCTTATTCTTCTTCATTATTACTTCTTTCTCGACTCCCTTCACGCACTTTTGAGCGATGATCATTTCACTCCTCGTATGCAAGACCTCCTACTGCGAGTAAAAGAAGTCCGGACTTCACATCACCGACCGGCCTTGTGTAATCGCATGCCATGCCCGAAGGTTGCAACATAACCGTAGCCGTTGTCGGAGTCGGCAAGCGGCTCTCAACATCCTCCGGCCTTTCACAGCATAGGTGGTATGCCGATAGTTACGTAGCATGGAATTGCTACGTCGGCAGTGGCTGGCGGTTGAGCTTTGGTTAAAATGGTTGGATAAAGGCGGCTCGCTACTTATGATATGTCGTCCCGCCCTCGGTCCGGTCGTTCAGTCGTCGGTGGTCCATACACATAACAGCGCCCAAACCCAGCCTCTAAGAGAACACTCCAAGTAACTGAAGCAATTAGAAGAAGTACTGTCTTCCCGTCATTCCCCGTCCCATCGGAGCCTCGAGCATCCTCGGAATCGATCTCGGTTCCGAAACGCCAATTTGCAATCCGGTTCAATGATTTCTTTTGTTATGATCTCACTGCATAACGGCACGGCGCCGCTGCCGGGAAGCCACGGCCAGGTTACACAGGATGTGTTGGGCAGTCACCACTACCTAACTACTTAAGTCTTCAACCATTCAAAATTCAACGGCAACACGTCCGTCTTACTGCAGCGTACTTGTGAGTGGTAAGGTAAGGAAGGAAGGAAGGAAGGCACTGACTGCATTTATCAACTATCCGCCCCCCGCGTGAAGTAGCTCCGTACCTACCTACCCATTACCATACGGTCCAGACATCTCACTTCTGGCGCCAAGTTCTCAGTTCAGGCATTGGTACGTACCTCACCTACCCGGTCTCAATGGACCAGCCAACTATTTACAGCTTATTCGTCGTCAGCATTCCAAAGCAAGCAATCGGGGCCTACCGCGGACGACGATTAAAGGACAAGAGGGTGGACTCCCTTATCTCTTGCCATTAAGAGAAGTATTGCGGGTTTGTTTTCAGCGAATGGAGGACATATTCGTTGGAATCGTGATCGTTGATGCCAGTGATATTTGATAACTGTTGAAGATCAGCACTACCGAGGTTGTATCCGGAGGTGAAAATCCGTTGTCTCTACCATCGATTTATCTGGATAGTTGCGCTCGGGACATTAAGACCATATCCCTCAACGGCCATCTTCAGTACTCATCTTCTGATAATCCTGAAAACTTGGACGGGAATAAACCTTCCTTTGTTCTGACAGTGATGACCACGCCGCTCTTGCGTGTGAAACTGCCAAGTCATTGCCTCCCTCAACTTTTCTATCGACCAGTTACTACTAAGTGTCTATTCGTAAATCATGGAACCCAGCGTGGAGATACACCCGATGCCAAACGTTGAACGGGTGATGCGGCTCAAGAACCTAACTAAGTCAACGCCACTTTGAAAGAGTTGCCATCACCTCCAAACGGCTGGTTTGATATATTTTCCAGTAGTCAAGACTAGACTGTCACCCGGACCTGTCCTTCGTCCGCCATGTCTGAAGTCCTACCCGTCGCGGATATCGGACACTCTGATGCCCGACCACATACACACTACAACGATATGAGGGAGGAGCACCACACCACATACATTATGTCTCTTTCCTCTTTTGGACTTGTTCTGAGCTGCAATGACGTCTCCGGGCGCCATGCTCACATACTTTGGAGAGATGTGATGAGCGTGGTCTCTGTCTGCAAGCGGCTGTGGTGAGTGCGGAACACCGGTTGATATTTTGCGTGTCATTGTGACCGATGTGTCTCACGTCGCTTGTGTATACCCGCCGGTCAACTGAGCACCAATATGCATGACTGTTAAGTATTTCTCTTCAGTGAGATTTTATTTTCGTTCTCTGTCTCTGAAGGGCGCTTTCACGGGACAGACGTACCTAGTAGGAAGGCCAGCGTCTTGCCGATCCTTTGATACACAGATAAATCGCAGGTAAACTTGATCCGACAGTGTCCCATCCGTGTCAATGTCACCCCCGCAGCAAGTATGAATGTATATGGTTTCGCGTGAAGGCCTCCCTTGGGGTTTCCGGACATCTCCAAAGCTCTCAGACGCCCGACCATGCAGGTTTGCGTTGGATTGAGGTCTCCCTTGGACGAGAGATACCCGAGTACCCGAAAAGTATCACTACCTATGTGTTCATGACAAACTTGAGTTGAGATGATGTCTGTTGGATGACTCGAAAAAAGTTACTGAGCATCTCTTGATGGTGCGCTTTGGTATGAGGACTGATAACAAAGAATGATCGTGATTTCAACGGCCGAGACACGCGCTAGTGTAGTGAATCCGAACCGGGCCCGAAACTAGAATCAGGGAGCAAAGGAGTTGGACGGGTTAATAAGTGTGTTTCCCCTATGCGCAAGTCTCGCAGTAAAAGATCTGAAGAAGGGGGTGAACCGGAGGCAGAATAAGTGCTATCCGGACATTGGAACAGGGCGATATGCGAACGTCGTGGACGTCGGGTAATAACAAATGATGAGGCATCCGATGGTGGACTGCCAAACGTTGAGCTTGGCGAAAGGTGCATTATGCGGCGAATCATATGTAACCATAACGTTAAGGGAGTTCCCGTCGCACTTGCATGAGGTCCGAAGGCATCCCTCCGCCCAGTCCGGGAGTTACCCAACACCCCGGCCAACTTGAGTTTATATCCCCTCAAATCCCCAAAGCCAAGACAAAGTCTGTAGATGAATCAGCCTCTGTGTGAAAGGCGGCAAGCAACAACATTTCAACGTTAAAGAGGATATCCTCTCTTTGATTCTAACACAGAGAATGGACTGGACCACGATGACCACATATTTTGAAATCGACAAATTTCGATGGCGCCAGTCAACATGACCCCGATGATGGTGCACACCCGGGAACGATACTCATCGCCAAACCGAACTTGGCCCTTCGAGTAATACGGCACAGCAATTGGGACCATTTTGGGCTAGTCATGTAAGAGAGGACAGGAGCGGTCACGTTGAAGATGCCCAATACTCACGACAGGCTCGTAATTGTCAGCCTTATTGTCACGGACGCCTATCTCACCCGAGGCGTAACACCTCGACGGTCGGTAGCTCACCAGTGCATGCTGCAAACGAGGCTCGACTACAAAGCCAATCACGCTGTTGCCGGTCAACACATGACCGATGAAGGGAACTGATCAGGTAATCCTACGGCCGCAACCAGGATTGACAAAACAGGACCCGGATGGATGTGATAGCGGCGTCTCGTGAGTATGGATGAACAGACTGTGAACAACCGGTGATGGATAAGTGGGGATTTCGGGGTGACTCGAAGCCAAAGGACGTCAAAATAGTCTTTGGGGGCCGGCCTCGCGTTGCCTAGTGTCGCGGAATAACTCAAAGGGTCGAGATCGGACCAGGAGGACGTTCGACACGGCTAATGGACCCAACTTGAATCACTGCTGCACTGGCCATCTGGGCATACGAAAATCGCCTACAGTGTATTTGACGGCAGGGCTATTGTTTTCTGACACCATCGAACACCACTCCGACAAGGAAGGGAAGGAAATTGGGAAGCAAAGAGGGCGTCTTAGCTGAAGGAGACCGGTCAGCGGCCAACACCGGAAGAGAACACCATTGCACCGGGATGAACTATGCGCCAGCTAGTCGCATCGACTACGGCCACACTGACGTTTTGTCTGTTATCAGGACAACGACGGGTCATCAGCATCACGGAAGGATAAAGACCAGCGTGAAGGAAGGACCAAGGCGAGTCATCGATAACCGCCAGAGCCGCTGTCGTTCGGGACTACTACTGCTCCTGATGTGCAGCAGGCTAGTAGTCGTTGGCCTTAGGACGGGCCGAGAAAAGCAAAAATCAAGGGAACTAACGGCTGGAGATTTCTGGTTGGACACCAGGGCGACTTAAACGGACGATTTGGGGGCCCAAAATTGAAGAAGACGGACGGAAGCAACGAAAGTCGAAACCCTTCAAATGTCTTTGCCATCTCTCATCACAACGGGAACCATGAGATACTACTCAGCCTCCAAGAGCGGGACTTGGTTCCCGTCCGGATAAGACCGGGGCGACAGGACCTACTGAGCGTGTCTGGACTGCGGGATGGCTCACGGCCCAGCTGTGATGAGGTGAACGGGCGACTGCAGTTTCTGGCTGAAACATGGAATACTACCGTGGAACCCGAAGTAAAAGGAAGATTGCCCGCGATGGTACTGCGATGATGGAGCGGGAAGGAAAGCGCAATTGTGATGAAAGGGAGGCCACCTGATCCAGTTCCATCGACGGGAGGATTGGCGGAAGCGGATACGTAACGCCTCATCCACCTCGCTCTTTCCTTATTCGTCATATTTTGGAAGCGCATGCGGTTGGCACTGTCCAGAATGGGATGGACCATGCCACTCCAGTCACTTCAGTTGTTTCTTGCATTCTTGATGTTCTTTCCAGATTAGACTTGGCAGATGGGGAAGGAAAAACCATTGCACGGTGCAAACGGTCACTCGAGCGAACTGCAGTGTCTCCTGCAATGATCTCAATGAAATTCAACAATGTCCCAATTAGTTTGACATTAGGTACTTACTTTGACCAGCTTTCAATCATTATTACAATCTCAAGGAGAATATAGAGTGTTCGTATCCTTGTCATTCATTGACTCTCTGTCACTCAAGACACGATCATTGGATGTCGTCTCATCCAAGACATTGAGGCTTCTTTGCCCTACGTCGCCATTTCTCGTAAAGGACCGCACACGAGCTTCGCGCTGCTCTCAGTCTTCCAGAATCATCAAGGCGCCCGGGTTTCACCCAGCGTCTGATGGGCGAGATCCTACATCACCACCATGACAACAAATTGGGTCAATTCAAGACATCTGGGCGGGAAGGCGTCTTGGCCAAGACGATCTGGCGCCCAATATTCATCCACAACATGTTCGTAGCCGCAAACCTAGTTGCCCAAGTAGTGTAGTATGGGAACGGGTGTCGAAGCAGTAGTAAACATCTAGCGCAAATTTGGCATCACACAGCCCTTCCATTCCTGTCGAGCTGCTGGACATAGCACTGACGGTGAGTGATAGAGGACAATCCAGGAATTCTACACATCTTTCGGTCTCTTTGTCATCTCAAAACATGGATCTGTTCAATTTCAGCACGTATATGCAATCCAGCTGTGGTCTGCCTCTTCTAATGCCCTTCTGACTGCCCCATCTTACCTTTGTGCATACAATGCTGCCCATGTTATCGCAGCCAGCTAGGAATTATACATACACCTAGGACAGCCAGCCGTCAAGGATCCGGGATAGTGTAGACTGGCAGCCGTCCTCGTATAACCAATACTGTCCGGGCATTGGCTCATCGGCAGTATTGGAGGATGGGAGCGGTCCATGGCCCAGGTGAGTGACTCCCTCTTCAGTCGGACGTGGGATGCAGCAGCCGAATCACAGCATCACAGCTCTCTTGCTCGCTGAACCATTGACGTGGTCACCTTCATCGGGATATCCAGACCAGCGGGATCGGTTGCACAAAAGGTGGGGGTCTGGGCAGCAGTGTTGTTGCCATTCAGCACCAGTCGATGACAAGGCGGGCGCGCGGTGATCTCCACAAACGGCAATCTTCGAGACTAATTCTGTCTTGCCATTGGCTCTGGCCTGGTGGCTGTATGTACTTGTTATACATCGATTAGCATATCATCAAGAGAGCAAAACGGCAAATTGACAAAGATACGATGCTCACTTTCACAGCTCAACTAACATCACTGACGAAAACAACAAAACCGCAAGGCAACAAAGTGATCGCCGTACAGTGCCTAACAAAAACTCGGTCCCCAAGGTGTAACCGTATAGAAAGAAATGGTCTTGATTCCACAGGGTGTATCAGCCTATCTACTGTGGTTATTGTTCAATAATCGGCTTTCAGAGTTACGACTAACGTGCTATACAAGTTTTTGATTCGGCCACCATTCAAGTATGAATTGAATACTTGCAGTTATTATTGGACCTACCTTCCGCTGTTCTTCCGGGTTGACCCCTTCAGGGAGAGGCAGTTCACTGGGACAATTTCCGTGCACCTTGACGGCTGGCACACATGGCCGGTTTGCCTTCCTTCCCCCCCAGGGGAACATCAATCTAAAACTCATACGTCTTGGCGACGGTCAGCTTGCTCACGTCTCGTTTCCTGTCCGGCACGGCCCTATGCCTTTGTGGTGGTGGGAGGAAGCGAGGGAGGGAAAGGAACTGGAGGGAACGGAAAGATATAGCCCTGCGGGCATTCCAATTATCCGCTTACAAGAAAACGCCCCAATCCAATGTTCTCCAATCAGTTCGCGGCCAGCTCTTGAAGTACCCTGTAGTCGTTTTTGAGGTGAAAGATGGGTCTTAGGGAAGTAGAGTCTTGAAACCCTCGAAAGTGCAGGGTACCGTATCGCAATGGCTCGGGGCACAGGGTTTTAGGTTTACCTGGAAATCAGGCATAATCCGTAAGCATAGGGCAACACTATGCCCACCAGAAAGCATATACGAGACGGTGATCTTGGATCTCTCCACCCTCCAGCGCCCTGGGAACGATCGGTAGAAAAGGAAAGAATATTAGAACGTTCGAATTTACTATCTACTAGGGTGGCAACTCAAACCACCCCACTCAAAACTCATTTTGATGGGCATATACAACAACACACACATTTGGGTATTACACTCACAGATTATGCCTGGTCTACAGGAAACCCAAGACCCTCTGCCCCGGGTCGGTACGGTATCTCTATACTAGGTTATTTTGGCCGACTACAGCAGCGAATTAGTAACTTAGCCGAGCTCGGGAGAATCAAGGAAAATCAGCGGTGGTTTTTTTTTTTTTTTTTTTTTTTTTTTTTTTTTTTTTTGGTGACGAGATGCCGTAGTGCCCGTACCCGTTCCCTTGCCGGAAACCAGTCCCCGGAACCTGGACCCTGCCAGTCTTCTGCAGCACCACTCTATGACCAAACCACCATTTTGGATAAGCCAGTGGGAGGTTCGTTTCGCATCGAGCAATGAGTGACCTAAGCGGGCGGTCGAAGAAAGCTGGGTGGTGCCCGTCTTGGCGACCCCCGAGATTCAGGCCTGTCAGGTCCCTGCACCTTGGTACGTTGTGTGGTTTTGGCCTTTTGTTGGTAACGATACCGAGAACAATGTATACAGATTGTATCAGTTGACGAATGGGATGAAAGAACCCGAAGAAAGGTTTCGTTCGTCCGTTCCGTCTTGACAGTGCGCATGCCATGTTCCTGACTGGGCAAGGAATTGGTTGAACCGTCTAAACGCATATCGCGCAGTATTATAGAGAAACGAAAGATTGTAACTTTCATGCTGAATTATCGCTTTGTAACATACCGAATGAGTTGGTGATGACATCTTGCTCGGCCGACGTCAAATCCGACGGAAAGGTCTCCTCTTGAAATTCTGTGTAGGAGCCGGACGTCCAGGATTTGTACGACATGCACATGAATGGGGGAAACCAGGAGGTGCAGAGGTTGAATTCCTGCAGGTCACTTAGTCTGCCCTGGATTTTGGTACATTATCAGAGTATCTTTACTGCACCTCCAAAATTCGTCAACAATGTACGTGCAAGCACCCAGGAAAAGTTGCTACCTCTGCAGGAAAAGTGAACCTCAATGAGAGCCGAGACGAACAACTCAAGGGCTGAAAGAATCCATGCTCATTTCGAGTCTAAGGACCACGCTGGTGGACATTTACGGCTTGAGTCCAGGCGCCTAAACCCCACCACCCTTCACATTCTAATGATCTCGCAAAGTGCGATTATCAAGTACTTGCCTGCTTAGAGGAAGAGAACTGAAAGTAAGGGTATGTAGTGGAGATAGATGAGCAAAGGAAACCTCCACGTACCTCTAAACACGGGAAGTGGAAGACGGCAGGGCGGGAAGGTAGGTCGCAGGGCGTCGGGTGTGGATGGGGGGGGGGTGTGGTTCTATCTACACAGTAGTCTAATCACTATGTAACATGAAGCCTGGGGGTACATCCCTAGTACTAGTAAGCGTAAGCCCTGTAGACGTACCTCTTCCCTGGCGCAGTTGGGGAACTGAAGTAGGTCGACGGGATCGATTTGGGTGGGAACCCTTCCGATCCACAAGCCACACCCAACCACGACCCCATGTGAATCACCTCCACAAAAACTTCGATGCCGAACCATGCATGTGTTTACTTCCTTTCCAATCACTCTGGATTGATACCAGCCGACAATCGCCCAATTTGGATCCCATCAGACGTGAGGAGACAGATTTCTTACACCTGGGATAACCTGGGGACTTGGTGTGTGACAGTCCATGACAGGTCCGCCTACGGGCTGCCAGTGACGGTTGCTGTGGACAGGAGGTGAGTGAGTGAGTTTCGATACTCAGGCAACAGGTACCAGATACTGAGGACACCTACTTGTACTAGGTAGACCTGTGGCCGCTGTGGGAGGCTGTGTTCTTTTGACGACATGTGCGTCCCGCTGAGATGCCTCTGTTTCCCATGTAGAAACCTGAAGGTACGTACCAGTCTCCTCGCCTGTAGCTGTTGTTTTGACAAATGTCGAGCATAAGGGAGCCTATGCTGGTGGGGAGCTTGAAGTCGCCCCCAAAGCAGGAATATCTTCATCTCTCGACGTCATTACAAGACCCCCCAACAAACGTTTCGTCTGACAGCACACAGCACATCTTCAGTTACAACTGTCCTGAAACGGTAGCCAAGCCCTGTTCCTTCAACTTCGAATTGGACTCGAGGGCTCCGTGCTCTACCTCATATCAGCATTGGCGGGTCTGATTTGGAAAAGGACACCCTATTCCTAGATACAAGCAGGCAAGGTCAGCTAAGGCAGGCAGGCAATTGCAGAGTATGACTCCAACATGTGGGAAACCAAAGAGAAGAATAACGGGAGTCGAATAGCAAGTTGGACCAGGTATCTGGTCCTCAGCGCGCCGCATGTGGCAGGCTTGGTACTACATGCATATGTAGGCATATAATATTTCCCTACCCCACCATTTTCATTTGGTAGCTCGATTTTGTGCTTCGGAGGGGCAACTTATTACGTCCTTGTCGGCTCGGACTACAACTCCCATCTAACCTACAAGATAATTGTTGCTTTAGGCATGCCTTTCATGAATTCAGTGCAGCACTCCTTGCCGTCATACACTTTTCTTTTCACTACTTAAACGGACTTCCCCCAAACTTAAGCACTTGCCTTTGTCTTGTTTCAGTCCTTATCCGCTCAGTCCACTACTGGTACGCTTTGCCCCCTCGATTGTGCAGTCCGCTCCGTCTTCTATCGGTCTCCCGCCATCGGACACCGTTCCGTCAACAAATCCATTACAATGCCTCCGAAAACACTGAGGCAACCCGTGTTCTTTTGTATCCATTGCGGCAACAAGTTCACTCGCAAAGAACATCTAGAACGCCACATCGCTTCTCGTGAGTGTCTCTAGTCACTTTGGTTACCTCGATCAGCACGGGCTTTACTGATCCTTCGTTCAGATACTGGTGCGAGGCCTTGGTCATGCGTCCATTGCTTTATGCCGTTTGGCCGTCAGTGAGTATTATCCCCTCTTTTCTCGGCCCGTAGCTTTACTGAGACGCTGTTCAACAGGGATCTACTCCGGCGACACCTGAAGATTTACCATTCGGTCTCAGACGACTTGGACCCAATTCCACCCCAAACCGGTGCGCACAAGCCGGACGTGGCATGCCAGCCCTGTCACAAAGCCAAGTGCCAGTGTGATAAGCAGAAACCGACGTGCGGGGCGTGCAAAAAGAAGGGTATCACATGTGTCCCACGTGAGTCCAGGAGAGTAGTCAAGCAGGAGACCCGGGCCCGCCGTTCAGCAGCGCCGCAACAACCTCCTCCGCCCGCCCAAGTCCCTCTACCTGCTCAACCCGCACGAGATGAGCAAAACCAACAAGAACCAGTCATGGAGGCTTCTCTTGAAACCATGATTGACGGCGAGGCATACCAGCAAGAGCGACGGGCATCACATATCCAGCAGGGTCTTTACCAAGGAACGGGACCACAGAGCTCGTTCATACCACAAGTACCTTTGACTAGAAATTTGGCTCCTGGAGTCGGCTTCCCCAACTTCTACGGTTTTTCCAATCCTACCAGCTACGGAGGTTTCGACGGTTATGGTAATCCGATCCAGTCGTTTGGTCCGAAGCCCACGCATCTCGGTTCTCAGAATGACCCTTCATTGAATATACCTGACTTGAGTCCGGGCTCATTGAATATACCCGACTTGAGTCCGGGCTCATTGAATATACCTGACTTGAGTCCGGGATCATCTACCTCTATCGAAACCGGCTTTGAGACGCTTGACGACATCCCAGACATGAACGGGTTTTCAGGTTATGGCGAGGTCGTAGTGAATGGCAACAACCACCACTCACTTGCAGGCGAGGGTACAGTACCTTGGAGTTGGGAAACAAATTCGCTCAACGGTTATGGGTACATGTAAGCGCAGGTTTTACCCGCACCAGTTTCGGGTCTTTTTTTTCTTTGTGTGTTGCTTGGTTATGAAAGTGATTGTCAGCGGGAAGTTGCTGCCGAGTATTGGAAGATATGTAGTCTACTGTATGAAGTGGGTATTGGTTGATGCTCGTAAAGGGGTAAAGGGGAAATGACTGAATGGTTGTTGATATGGATCTTGGCACGACCACTACATCTAGAAGAACAGCGGCGATAATCGACAGGGTCTCTTAGGTGGAAGGAGGTCGACATCGATATTTACATATTCTTGCATTTACAGCAACACATTGAGGCATGCAAACACGCTCGCATTATCTTCATTTTCTGTTGATGAATCCAGAACGCCCCTACTGGAAGCTACGATCCGTGCACTAGGTGGTCAAAAAGCAAAACTCGCGGTGGGATTTTTGTACCTCTTCTTAACACAACAACCATACTACCTAGAGATCATCACTCTCTTCTTGGACTTGGAAAATACAGCTTCCTGTTCCCGCATTGTATATTCACGTCGTCCAGATAGAAAACAGCCACCGCGATTTGAGGTTGTCCATTACATCAAGAATGTCAAGTTGCTTTCTAAGCGCAGTAGTTTCGTGTCCACTGTAGTTCCCATTGTAAAATTGAAGCACCCAAGGCACTAGGGGCAAATAGTGCAAAGATGAAAGATGCTGTTCCGCTTAACCCCACTTCCTCGAGCGCTACCCCCCCCCCTCCCTGCTCCCTGGTTCCTTCCTGATTAGGAACTGTTTGGCCTTTGGTAGCCAATCAGAAGATGGCAGGGAAACGATCTTCGTCAGTACTTCCCTAACGCCCTCCCACAAACTCCGCCGTTTGATAACTACTTGAACAAGGCACTGTCATCTGGAAGGAACAGGCAAGATCATGCCCGACTCTTTTTACAATTACCGCGGGGGTTCTCAATACTTTGGCCACTCGGAATACCGATGAGATCCGCGCCTGCCAAAGCTTATTCCAGAATAGATCAGGGGAATTGGGGCGGGGAAGGCGGGGCTCAAAGGACGGAGCGGAAGCTCAGTGGTCAGTGTCACTGCATGTAATCGGAGCGTACCCAGGTAATCAGCGCTGTATCTTTATAGCCGATACATCCCTCTATCCATACCTACCTATTCCTCTTCCTCTATGAGTTGCCCCCGGGGTTAACGAGCAGAGCGTCTTCAATGGTGGATGGCTGTGGCGAGCAGTGCAAGCCCTCGAGAGATCGTAGATGCTTCGGCAGGTATCCGTACCCTATGGAGGGGGGGGGGGAAAGACCTCGGCAACCTGGGAGTGATGTCGCACGATAATGGGATTCAGCAACTTGAATGGCGATGGTGCATGAGCGGGTAGCTATCGAGGTTCGGCGAAAGTCAACCCTGCTTCAGCGATACTTTACTGCCTTAGCGTGGGATGGGTTGGGTTGCAACCCCGCCATTCTGTCCACCAAACGCACGACTTTCAATGATTCAGGTGCCCCAAGATGTATCAACAACCCCCACCACGAATCTCACCCTCCCATCCCGTCATCACCATTTCCCGCCCATCCACTTACTCTCTTCCACCCGCTCACTGTTTTTCGTACCTCTTTTTCGTCGCCCTACTCGAATTCACCTCCCACCTTCAAAGCGATTGCACAATAGTGTGACACCAGTTCATTCGTACCTGGGCTGGAGCTCGAGCGCTGAGCATCCCGAGTGGTCCATCACTGAACTGGATATGTACACCGCAACATCCAAATACAGCATCACATCTTATTGATGCCGCCAACCAGGTGCCCATTCATTATAGCTTCGGCCAGACGGTACGGGTGTTCTGTTATCGTCCTCTATTCGTCCCTTGGCCTATAGAAGCTGACTGTTTGCAGTGCGCAATGTCGTGGAACTTGTATTACCAACAGTTACACAAACCCACAATGAGAAAGCGAAGACGGCGACCGACGAGGCCAATATCGGAACGCGAGCCCATCCGATAACCCATACTCCTCAAAACACGTGCATGTCCAGCTGCAACCACATCAAGCCCAAATGTACCGGCGTCTTGGGTCTCGAATTATCCGATGTCATAGATTTGACATCTCCGACGACAAAGAGCAAGTATGCGACAAGTGCGACGAGAATCGTGCGGGTCCATGTCATTCATGTCGCAACATGGTCTACATGAGGACAACCATCAGTAATTTGGAGCAGGCTCCCCAAAATCATAATACCTATATGGGAGAATTCCCATGGTACGACGCGCCCTCTTTCTGACCATTCGCCCAGCAGCCTTGACGTTTGCGCTTGCCCCTCGAGAAACGAAACATGACCGAAAGCTTCTAGACCTCCAGGCGTCCATCGTTTCCAACTCGAACGTCTCAACTGTGCCTTGCTGTGCCTCTGGAAGACATATACAAGCCAGCCTCAACCGCCTTTGATGCAACGTTTGGTACGCGAGTGCCGACTATTCGAAGCTCCTGCCATGGGTGAGGTGCAAAGACAACAATACCCTTTGCAGAGCCCGCCACTTCACCGGTAAATATCTGAGATAAGTCGAGTTTTGAGCTGACAGGAAGCCTTCTAGTCTCCTTATCGACCAATACGGGTATCATACCCCACACCAAGCGTCCTTGAACGGAAACGCCAATGCTGCAAGAGTCTGGCACGTTCAACCCTACACCTTCAGCTTATGCTTCTTCTTGCAGCCCTTGGCGCTATTTAGGTCGCATCAGGACTGCTTTCGGGACCGAGAATCACTGCCTTCGTCACCGGTAGAGGTTTTGATATTAGATAAGATGACGCTGGGTGAATGCGATCGCGCGACTACCAAAGGGCGCCAGGTCGCACGCCAGCTCTAGCCAGCCACATTCACAACACCCGGCCATCTTTGCATACTGCTATAGACTCCATCAACAGTTAGATTGGCCTCCGCTGAAGGTGACGAACAAGCCCGATGAGTTCACCAATGCTGGCATCTGAAGGGAGAGACAGCCACGAAAGGTACAAGCGCGGAATCTTTTCGAGATGCCGTGTCTTTCCTCAAGACCATGAGGCTCTCTGTTATCCACGTTCTAGCTCGACAGCAACATTCATTGGCAAAACTTAGACCAGTAATACAAGAAGTTGCAGTCTACTCCCTTTCTGGATATACTCCGCCTGCGCCAACATGTTGGTTCCAAGCTGATGATATTTCTGAAATAGGTGATGCTGATGTCAATGGGTTGACACACACTACCAGACACGGATAGAATCACCACAAATTGGGTACCGCTGCGCATCAATGGCCGGCCACAAAACCCTTTTCTTCATAAAGGTGAGTGAAGATCCTTACCAAGCACAGCCCTATGGTATGCAAGCCAAGCTCTTGTCTAGTGTAAGAAATGTGAGTTAGACACCTGTAACATGTGGGCTGTTATCACAACACTTCAACATCGAATTTTCTGACCACAAGCTATGTACGTCAAATTGGTGTTCTGCGAAGGACCGCCATCACCACAAAGCTAGGCGTTGCACAAATAATATGTCCGATGAGTGACCTCGGATAAGGATAAATAAGGCACATATGCTTACTGGTCCATCAAGGAAAGACTACTCAACTTGACAACTCACGACCTAGATACACAACCTTTGTACATCAGGCTTGGCTGGCACACCTCAGCCGCAATCCGAATAATTCCGTGAAGGGGAGTTGCTTGTTATCCGTCCTTCATCCACTGTTGATTCGTAAGAATTTGCTTACTCTGTACTACACTCCATGTAGTCCGTGGGCACACCAGCACTCTTGGCAGGTGTTGCAGCGAGTTGTATCAAGAATAGGGAAACCAGCGGAACGACCCGTCGCGGCGACCGCCACGCCGAACTAGTCAGAATGCTTACACCCTCAGCGAGCTTCAAGGTGAGCCTCGGCACATATCCAATAACAAGGCGAGGACGTATTTAGTAAACCTCCAAGCAAAAGTGTCTTCCAAATGTTGAGGTACTTGCTGAGGATGACACAGGTTTCCGTGACTTTGGGAACAAGTCCACAGCAACATACCCTCTGACTGGCCCATTAGTTGTGCTGTGAAACGCATGTTTCGGGAACCAGAGAGGAGGTCATCACCAGTATCTCTCTCAGTCACGGGTGCCAAGTCATATGTGGTGATGCGGTCAAGCCTTTAGAATGGGGAAATGATTGACTTCAGGTTGAGCCTCCCCCACACACGCTAACACAACTAACCAAGCCACGCATAACTGCTTATTTACACCGTTTAGTATTTCTATTTCCGTTGCATTGGTAACGGCGACATCTTCAAGGTGTGCAGTAATCCGAGTTGTCAGTCAGCGATTGGTCAAGGAACAAGTACTGATTTATTCGGTCAGCCCACTGCTGCACTGTCGATAGAGAACACTTTCCCAGTCTTGGACAGCAATCGGCATGAACTACCTGTACAATAAAGTGTGCGTGTTCCATACTTTCTAGGTCGGCCTAATACTATCACCAAAACAACTAAGAGGTAGGTTATATTCATTCAGCCATCCAGCCCATCTACCCACCAAGCCACCGACCTAGTCTGTGTGAGCTTCCGTTTCAATTAACTTATTGCAAGAGAGACCGCACTAAGTAGGGCGACGTCCGTACGTCATTTTGCAACGAGGAACGGCACGAAATATACCTCGAGGGTCTGTCAATCAGCAAGTCAGATAGGTAGGTAGTCTCACCAACACTCCCGGGGCGTGTTAAGCTCCTTCAACTCTAATGGGTGGTGCTGCAATCTCTCTCTCCACGCCAGGCCATCAAACCCATGCTGTCGTGGCAGATTGTCATTAGAAGAAGCCCTCTCAATCCTGTTACGCTCTTTGTAATGTTTTGTTCAGCTTCAGCCATGTTGATTTGATCCCCAGCCATCGCCACGTTCGGAAGTCTAGGTCCCAACATGGTTGATTGGATAGTGAGATTTGGATCTGGCTAGATATGGTGGATTGGGTTCTGGAATTTACCGGTACAGCTCAAAGCGGGGTTATTCTTTGTTACCAAAAAGTAGTACAAGGGAATGACGCAAGCTTGGGTTCGGTCGATTACACTACAGATGTCATGATGTGAGTTCCAGTTGAGAGGCCTGGACTGCGAAAGGTGTGTAGCGTAGTATGTATAGCGAGGGGATGATCGATCTACGCTGCGATGCTTGAGATTCGTGTCAGATTCTCCTACATACATCTCAAAATGGCAAGGAGTGACGTTAACGGTTCTGTAGCATTTCCCAACTTCTCGGTGGAAGTTGAAAAAGAAAGAAGCGTGTGGGAGGGTAATGGTAGGGTAGCAACGCATCTGTTGATCCCACACAACGAAAGCAATATTTGCAATGCGCTGGTACACTAACCAATGCATGAATGTTTGATCGGGACACTACTGCCAATCTGCTATTGAACGATCCCTGTGATGCGCGCATCTTCGCCTTGATATCATTTCCAGTTGATTGATAAGGGAGCCGTTCTGGTGGCGTTGTTGTTGATGTTCTTGTGATGCTAAGTCTTGGGTTCCCTCTGAATGGCGTTTCCCAACCGGTCACGGACAGTTGAGATTCGAGAAAGAAGATGATGCCGTTGACATGTGGGCGGACAAGGCGGAATTACATCGATTAAGGTGTTATTACCCTATACATAAATCCAGGGAAATCTTTGACGATTGCCGGCTGCGAAAACATAATGACACTTTCCGCGACTATGACGAAGGTTCCTTCCGGGTCGATACCTTAGGTAGGTACCGAAGTGCCATGCGGCCGCAGGAAGTGACCGGGGCCGGGGGATGGGGGCCGATTGGCTTCTCAGGTTTAAGTCCACGGTCGATGTTATCGACAAAGATTTACTTTATGCTTTCTATCTTCTTGCTTCTTTTCCTCTTTCGTCTTTTTACCTTCTTTCTCTATCATTTTCTTACTTATTTTTATCCTTTTCTTTCCTCCTTCTACCCAAAAACCACCCCTTCTTTCAGCTGACGTACGTCAGGGTAGAAGGTAGTATTGACCCTTCCCAAGCATGGGGACTGGTATTACATGCATCCCACGAGCCTGGTCACCACTTCTTAATATGCTTGTTCCTATTACCGTTCTCTATCGTGCTTTGGCTAGACTATCTTTCTTGCATATTATGCCATGCGTGTCTCAAAAACAATTCTCCGTAGCGTGGTTTGGTGTCATGTGTTAGGTATTTATAGGCTTATTAAGGTAGATATATCTTAGATACCGGCCTTTAAGGCGGAATTCTACCTTTTCTTGCAAAAGGTTCGGTTGGGATGGGCGGCTAAGTGGCGTAGGCGCGGTACTTACCTCGTAGGCGCCGAAGTAGGCGTGGCGCAAGCGGCATTATTAGCGGACGGAAGCGGCCTACCGAGGGAGTGACGGAGATCGGTTCGGGAGCGGGGGCTTAGTATCGCGTCAGCGGAGGAGCTAAGAATAAGGAATTAAGAAAATCTTCACGTAATAACTAGAGACCGTACGTTTACCTCGGTGGTGGAATTGGTGCAAAGAAGATTGGCAAAGTAAGGGGACAGAGGGAGATGAACAAGAAGTGCTTCTGTGGACGGTATGTGACCAGAAATATTGACAACTGAAGTTGTTCCACAATAATCGTTCATATACCACTTCTCATACCTTGTGACTGTATGAATGTAAATATCAGAAATATCACTCACTGAATACCTCGCGACTTGTAAAGTGAACGTAATTCAAAGAGCAATAAGATCCGACACATCCCGTATCATCCATCCTCGTTGTAGCGGGACAATCGCGGCCCAGTTCCCACTATCAACCCCTTTAAGCGTTGTTATTTACAATTTCACTTCGAGACCCCCCCTAATGTCAGCAATTCAGCCCTAATCACTATAAGCTAGAACTTCCCTTGGCATGGGTAGATTGGGATGCTTCCCTTATTAGCACAACCGCCTGATATCTCGGGTACCGTAGATCAAATTACCCGAATGGATGTGGCGAAAAGGTTAGTTCACGGCGTGACTAGTGACCAAAGATAGGTACGTAGGTGAACGAAGACAGGGTGTACCCTTGGCTTTCTCACCAGGTAGTGCTGTTGTTATTATCGTTACCTTTGACTTCATCGAAAGAAAACTTGTTGATGATGATGATGATGGTCAGCAAGGGGAAGAGATAAGGGGCGTGAACAGATCGACCTGCTCTTGGAATACTAGACTCATCAAGAGAAGCCAGGCGAAATTGTAGTGAGACTTCGCGGGATAGCCCCTTTTCGGTGTCACAGAAGCACAAACACAGTGGCTGACAGACACACATATGCCAGTGTGTTCTCTTCTAGAAGGAATCCCGGGCACTTGGCCACAGGATTGGCACGCAAGCTTGTAGCTATGCGTGCGACGTTGCTCATGTCGAGGGACATCAGGTCCTCAGCATGGCGCAGTGTTTCAGGAAGAGGCTGAGTTGGAAGGAAGCCTCACAAGTTGTTCTCTGACGTCTAGTGGGGGGTTCGTTGCCTCAGGTATAGTAGACTTGGTCAACTGAGAGCCAACCCTTTGGTCAGACAACTTTACATCCACCCGCAGGAGGGCGGCGGGCACGTGGGGAAGCCATCCCGAGATTGATACTTGTAGTCGTGGGTGATTGGAAGAGGTCCTACCCTTGGGTATGGTTCGTACGCCGTTGCAGACAGGTAGGTAGTACATGGTGATGGGACGCCGGACATTTTGGCATGGTGGTGGTTGGTACACTCGCAATCGTGCTCATCGTGTCACTGCTGACCTGCTTTGCGTGATGCCTGGAATGTTGTAGGACAATGATCAATATGTTGTGTCGGCTCAGTGTCCAAAAACAAACGGTTAATGAGAGCTCAAAGCTCGCTTGCTAGAGTATGTGCTCCCTTGCGAACCCTGAGTAGGTATATGTCACCGATGACTACAGAAGTTGTATATGTCAAAGTGTCAAACTGTAGAAGTACAGTGGACAGGACTAGTGGGTAGGATTAGAATATTGTACCTTACAGGCGGCGCCATTTATCAGATAATCTCATGAGAATGTAGGATGGTGTGCGAACTAGTAACCCCACTGCGTGGTAAGAAGGCACATGCTGAGGATTTGTTACTGCTGAGCCTCGACCTTAGTAACTAGTGGAAGAAAACGACGCGGGAGGAGTAGACGCTAGGAGGATTCTTCTTCCCACCAACGCTTCTACCTCACTGTTTCACAAATACATAGCCATCGTCAGCGGCTCAACTCGGTGTGGACATCCAGCAAAACCCACATCCTCAAGATAACGGCTTGGTTGCCCATGGCGCCACATCTGTCGTCGCAGCCACCCATCTTCCTCGATCCACCATGGATGGAAACCTGCTGGATCAGCGTACTGAGTTGAGGGAGTACGGCCAGTCAGACCGGCTCGCCGCCACAGTTCGATCAGTAATGTCGTTGGTGCAGAATAGTGGAGGTGGCGACCACTCGGCGAGAGTTGTGAGGCAAGTAAGAACCATCGCCGCTAACGGCTCGAACTGGAGGTGGCGCGGCGTGTTGCGAGAGTGAGTGTGGCCAGTGATGGCAGTGGACAGTAAGCCCTTGAGGATGTCTGATTCACACACTCTGAAGGAAATTTGGTTGGTGTTGATATTCGTACAACCGAAAACCTCATGACCGGCCGACCGCACAGCTGGCCCAGGGCCGATAACTTGACCAGTTTCACCACTGTACGAGACTTGTAACAATTCATTGAAAGTAGTTATCATGGGATGCTGTTGACAATGGGTATCTCGAAAGCAAGAACTGATTGTACTACTTGTACACAAAGGGCAGTAGCTTAGAGGTATGGGTTGCTATCATGTTGTGCTCAGTGCTCCTCGCTCATACTTGCGCAAGTTCACTTGTCCAGTTCTTGCTTTGAATGGTGTAAGCGGGAAAGCGCTGCGGTGTGAGTGAGGGTGTGACACGCACTTGGGATGCAACTTTTTGATTCATAATTACATATCCGTCGTATTCACCCAAGCGATATTCACATTGATCTGTTTAGGTGCTCCCTTAATGCCGTATAATACTGTGGCTTGGTGTTGGTTCGGGTCTTGGGGTGACGGCTGTTTCTCCAGTGTTCATTATCTGCCGCGGAAAAGTTCGACCCAGGCTGTATGTACTGAACGGAAAGAGTACTCAGGTTGAAACCGACCACAGTTGGCTATTGCACAGTAAGAAAGCTTCCATACGTCGTGCTCAAACACAGGAGCTGTAGGACCTGAGAAGTTCCAGTGATGTTGTGTGGGCGTGTGTAACTGTGGCTGGATGGGTGTGGCCGTGGAAAAAAAGAGTGTGAGAGACGGACTGTATGTTGAACGAGTGTCAACCTGAACCTAAGATCCGGAAAACAGGAATGTGCGGAGTTCTTTCTGGTGGCAGTGTCAATATGAAACAAATCATGATGGAAATTTTGAAGATGCCGATATGGGTAACATCGGATTCCGGGAACCAAAGAGTCCATATGGACTCCAGGCGCGGGAGCGATACTCTCTCTGATCCCCACGGATGTCCGGTCTATCTAGTCCATGTAGCTTGCTATGAGGTATCTGAACGGCTAGAAAACTGTTGTCGAGTGTATGTAGGCCAAAGGGTCCACGATGACTTGGCCGCTGAAAGGCCAACCTGAATGTTTACGGGGATTGACTGATATTGAAGATAATGCGAAAGAAGGTCGAGGCTCGGTCGATGGCAAGAGCGGGACAGGGATGTCACATCAAGTGCCCAGAGCTAGCGCTACTACGGAGACATTTCCAAAGCTTATCCGCTGTTAGGGTGGGCTGTACTAACCCTGCATTGGCTTGCTCACTGGTGATCTCTGGGCTGAATTGGAGGGTTCAATAAGGCTGTGCTAACGCTGAGCTAGGTTGCTTTAGTCGTCCGTGTTATCGCCTTACTAGTATAGCCTCCCATTTTCTGGCACCTCCTCAACGAGCACTTCACATCCGAGATTTCGATCCCGAAACAACATCTGCAGTATCGCGGCATCGTGCAGCTTTGATCAGCACCAGGCACGTCAGTACCATCCAGAATCTGTCTTTTGCACTGGATCAAGCTGCATTCCATTGACCGATCCGTCCACGATCGGTAATCCCAAGTTAAACAACCAGCACAACCTCGAGTCCCTCAACCCCTTCCGAAGACTGCGCGCCCGGTCGCCCAATGGCAGTAACAAATCGATGACAAGCGAGTTCTGGCGCATTCATTCCGATGCCAATAATACGATCTGAGACAATAAAATAGGATAGAACCTCATGCGCTAGATATTTGAAAGCATCCAGCAACCACGCCGTCGCGATCCGTCTCCCTCGTTCCGGAACCTCGCGCCGCCGAACTGCGTCAGTTGCCGTAAAGAATCGAAGCAATGAGCGATTGCAAATGGCCTCCTTCCCTCGTCCTCACGGCAGATTGACGAAGCACCAAGCAATATGCGTCGATACCATATCCAAGTCGCCGAACTGTGGTTCGCCGGCCTCGTTGCGACTTTAGCCTGTGGCCCGCGCCCACTCCGACCACGATAATGGAAAAAGGAATACGAGCGTAAAAGAAGAAAGGAAATCACACAGTTACCGGCTCGTGGGGTTTTTTCTATCTGCCATCACTGCATCATTGCATCTGGCACTGGGCGCGCTAGTCTACACTTCACAAGGTTTGCCGAGTTACGGCCGTGTGTTGTCTGTTGTGCTCCCCGTACGCACCCGCGCCCGCAGCCGGCCACCCGCTTCATGATCCATCTTCTCGATCTCCCACGTCAGAAAAGTCACGGCAGGCACAAACTTCACGGCTTGGGATTCATGGCCTCCCTCAACGACGAGGGTAACCCATCCCTCGTGCAAAGTTCCCGGCCTTCCGGTCTGCATGCGCACCATGGAAACCAGCATTGACAGCATGCTACCCTTCAATAGCCCATGCCGTGCTTCCTCGGGATTCAGAAAAGCACCCGCCGTGCCTCTATCATCTCGGATCAGAGCTTACAATAAATATGGAAGACACCATAGGGCCAACACCGCTCCTTTGGGGCTTGATCCATCGTCAACCCCGCCACAAAGAGCCTCTGGAAAAGCGGTGTTGCCGTGGCTCCACGACTGTGCAAGCCACTACAGCTACAGTCATCACTTATGCAATATCATCCACGCTGTGGTACGCTTCGGCACTTCTCCGGCCTTCTCGAGCGAGTTTTGACCTTGCACAAATCATCAGCCTCCGGGGACGGCGCAATCATGGGACCGAATTGCGGAGAGATAACTAACCGATCTACACGAGCGACCTGTCAGTAGCTGGAGAGAAACGAGGCGATACCGATGCCTTAACTGCGACATCTGAACGCTAAGTTGACCGTGGGTACGCTGGGTTAACGGAAGGACTTCTATCCGAGAGTCCATGTATGACCGGCGTGGGCTTCTGGCTTGACGGTATCCGAAGTTGGACTTGACGACGGTGTCTGGTAAGTCTGCCATCTTGAACTTAAATTTAACAGTCATCTGATTGGTCTTCTCTTTTTGAAACTCCAAGCACCATGCCTCTACAATATCGCTTGTAAAGTGGATAGATAGGGCAGAAATAGCAGATCACTGCTCAGGCAGCAGCCTTTTGGTGCCAACCAAGAGGACGTTTACAGTGCCTCCTGCAGACTCCCGTGCGACGATGAACCTCCACCATGGCCAAGATGGCGCTTCATGTCTCTCGGAAGGGTAAAATCCCGCCTAAAGCGGGAAGTGAGTACTTAGCTTTCCCAGTGACCCAGACCATGTGTGGACGTCCCGTCTTATCATTTTGGTTCCCTTGAGCATTTGTATTTAGGAGCATATTAGCTCGGACATGCGTATCTTCACCACCTGGTCTCGCATCCCTTCGCTGCTATTATCTTAGTGATTTTCCGCGGCAATTATGAATCCTCTCCTACGCAAAAGGGTTTGATATCCCGGGCGGCGACCAGGTGTTGGTGCACCCTAGGGATTTCGGTATCATCCCGCGTTCATCCCTCCCTCCCATAGACATGGATACAACTTACCTCTACCCACCAGCACCGATCACGTAGTACGGCCAAGAGCAAGCCTTATCAAGAGTTGTCTAACACAGACTTCCCAGTGGATGGCAACCGAGAGTGTGAACCGCAATATTTATCCCGCCCCTCTCTTTACAACACGCAGGGACATATTGTCTGGCCACCCTCCCTCGCTTTCGGAAGCATCTGATTGGGCTGGGCGATCTCGATGTACCGTGTACCATCCTGTAAGGGTAATGAGGCAGCACACACACAGTCTGAACATGTCCAGCTTACACGTGCAGCGGTTTAATCCCGAAAAAGGCAACCGTTACGATCCGATTCACACCCTCTCCCTCAGCTCCTATAATGCTGGCCTCGGATAGGTCAAGAATGCCAGTCCACTTACAAGAGGTCTTCGATATACAGGGGTATACACCTCCCTGCAGGCAGCTACCTTGTAGGCAACATATACATACACCCCCGTCTTTTACCTTTGTATCCATGCCATTGGAGGAGGCTTCTCTAAGCTTGAAGGGAAGCTAGCTACGCTCGGACTTTTTGAAGCTTAATCTGACACCGTCTCTTCGGCTGGAAGTCCAGTGCATGGCAACTGTATCGATGATGATTGCGCGCATCAAGTCAGCACAACATCACATCTTTTTCAAACTGTTTCTTGCTTCGTGTTTTATTCAAACCTTCGTGGGTAATAATGGTCAATGACTGAAACCTAACCCAGTAGCTATTAATAGTAGCCTCTTTAGACCCCCGCCCTGGACGACAATGGTTATGCCAAGATCCATGTCAACAACCAGTCAGCTCCAGTAGACTATCTTCCAATGCTCGGCATCAACTTTCTGCTGACGATCACTTTCGTGGGAACCAAGAAACACACAAAGAAAGAAAAATCGAAATGGTGCGGCTAAAGGCCTGCGCTTACATGTACTTAACTTAATGCTAAGCGGATTTGTTTCCCAACTTCAAAGGTACTGTAACCTCGGGATAACACATTACCAGACTTACCGACCCACTGCCGACTTCCAGCTGCCACCGGATTCTTACGTGGGATTCTGGAACTTCGGAAGAGAGTAAGCTATGATCGAACGGGGCGTACCAAAGTTGGAAATCTATGGAAGCAGGAAAAAGTATCATGGCAGAAGAAGAAAAAGAAGAAGAAGAAGAAGAAGAAGAAAAAGAAGAAGAAGAAGAAGAAAAAACGTTCGATGATGATAATGGCTTGATATGGGTTGATATGAGTTATGTTACACACACACATACACAAGTTACTTTTTCTTTTTCTCTTTTTTTTTTTTAATTCTACTTCCCTCTACGCCTCTTGCGCTTGTGTAACTTTACACCATATCACGCAAGGTTGGCACCAAAGTCACGCTCGCTGAGTAGTTGTTCTGAATTTGAGTTCCAAATATGACGAAGTGAAGACATATATCACTTAGAATAAAAGCCCACACACAAAGTTCTCGGATTGTCGGAGAAAGTTCCAGTTGCTTTGCAACTGAAAGGACTAGCTAGCTAGGCATTATTACATGATGAAAGAGTACAGCAGCAGCAGCAGCATCTTCCATGGGGATCTTGGGCATTGTGAAAGGTGTATCTTCATTAAGCACTTTTTATATTCCTTAACCAGTATATTGGACATGGAGCAAGGGTAAAGGCCATGGGTATACTTAACTTGATGTGGATATTTTCTCAATTGCGAGTTTCCCAACCTATATAAAACGGGTTTTCTACGCAGTGATTTATATCACCACCAAGTTTCACCAAGTTTCTGCCGCTTTCTTGATCTACCTAACTTTATCACGCTCTGAAAAACAGCATCGATGAGCGCAGATAATGTCGAAAAAGAATGGATCACTGGTTGTTTGAACAACTTGAATGGTCTCTTGATCTTTGCTAGATGCCCTGCCACGCCACGGGGATAGCCTTTATTGTGCTCCTGTCGTGTTTTGACTTTTCCTGCCTCATCATCATGTCAACATGTAACCATAACCATGCCTATCAGGGCTCAGGCTCTCATCGACTCCAACCCCATATTCCATTCCAATCTATATTGTATACACTGTGCTATATATATGTGTGTGTGTGCGATAATTTGCACAAGCTCGGAAACTTTTCCAACCTATAGCAGCAGCTCATGCCAACGTGATATAATCTATCCTCCACGTTTCGTTGATAATCCATGCGGTGTCTTGCTATCTTGGTTTTGTGTGTGTGTGTGTGTGTGTGTGTGTTAATATACGTTCGTGTATCTGTCTGATAAATCGACAGGAGCACAAAGACTTAGGTTGGTAGATGAAACTGGAAGCACGCTGCATAGCTCCTTCCTAGATCGAGCTTGCACGACTTCTTCAGGGGGGAAACACAGAGAAAGAAATCAGGACAGGAGTACAAAAGACTCGACTCGAAACTCGAAACAAACAAAAATGGAATTCAGCACCTAATACTACCTAGGTAGTCGGTAATACCAGGGCCTTCAACCAATTCAATCATAAAAGATAGGAAGAAGGCAAATGAAAAGGAAAAACAAAAGATATGCCACCCAGTGATGGCAGTAACCGGACTCCTCAACATGATAAAGTGAAATGGGTATTCCAGCAAACCACATGGTTTTTTTATCCCTGAAACCATCAAAAGGTTCGCTTCTATAAATGACAAAGGCATTTTTTGCTGTCTTTCTCTCCAGCCAGCCAACCAGCCATCTAGCCCTGTAAATGTGCGCTTCTGTGTACGGTATAAATAAGGTATATAAGGCCGGCTTGCGCTAGAGCATGGCGGTCTTGTCGAATAGGTTTTTGTTGGATGAGATGAACCTGAGGACATTTTGCAAGGAGAGGTCGTCGCCGAAGTTGGCTTTCCAACCCTTCTGGAGGACGGCTTGGATTTTTTATCCGATGGCAGCCAATTTATCTCCCTCGAGTTGAGCATAAGAGCCTGAAAGGTGGAGGAGACGGGATACTCGTTGCCGGCGAAAGAAGGCCTTGAAAAGACACCCAAGCAAAATTTTGATGAGGTGTGGGGGTGTGAGACATCGCTCTGTTGTTGTTTGGCTCGATTTGCGAACAAGTCTGTTGGTGTACGGTAGGTGCGAAAATGGCGTTGTTGTAGGTCTGCCTGAAGTGATGGAAAGCGTCTTGATGTTGACCAGATAAGTGGATGTCGTTTTCCCCTTCCAAAACGAGGAAAAGGTTGACAACTTCGCACCCAAAACACATGGCCTTATGGGACCAGTGCCGATGAAACCCACAATGCTGTGATGTGTTGTTTGTTTGTTTGTTTTGTCTTTGTAACCATAAGTTGTGCGTGCGTTTTTCAGGGTGGTCCAGCCCACACGCTTTGATCGCCACTCAAGTAAAGTTGCTGGTTTTCTCGAGTGGTGCCCTTTTGAGGCTGGCGTTATATTGGGTGATTCCTCCCAGAAATACGAATGACAGATGAATGGATGGATGGAGGGATGATGGCGCAAAAATCTGCAATAATAGATCTGAGCGTTGGTATGTGTATGTCAACGTGTCTGTTTTTGAGAGACTTGCACACACACCGACAGACACCTTCGCCTGTATGGCGACTGGACTCGCAAATCGCATTTTCTTCTTTGCTTTCCTCCAGAGAGAGGAACCACCTGGTGATCCAATACCAGACGCTGCTGCTGTTGATTTTGTTGAGTGGTCGTAGACGGAGGCTAAGAACTCATTGCTGAAGCTCTAGCCCACCGGCAAGTGCTAGTTGTTGGTCCCGCTGAAAGGCACCAACCAACTCGGTGATTTTAATTATGAGGGATCCCACCTCAGACCTGTCCGAGCCAAATCGACGCGTCAGAATACTGAGAATTTTCAGTGTCCTCAGTGTGCTCCTCCTCTCCCCGGGAGTCAGCAACAAGGAGAAGGGTAACACATCGACCTCATATCCCTTTACACCCTTTCCAATCACTGATTAAAGCTCGGTACTAAAAGGGGCGCGACGTCTGTCCGGTCCAAAGCAATAGGGACAGCGTATCAAGCAGGCGAGCGAATGAGCCACCTCTCGATTTGCCTGTACAACCTTGGAAGCCCGATCACAGAGGGGAACTTGTTGGTCAATGGCCTCTTGAGCCTGAACCAATTTCCAAAGGCAACCGCAATTGGGGGCTTGGGCCAGGGCAGGAGAGGCCAGTGCCGGAGGCATAACCAAAACGGGAGGCATAACCGGGCCGGGAAGGAGAGCAGGTACGGAGGCAGGAGGTGAGTGGGCGGAACTCGAAAAAAATGTCGGAGTCTGCTCAAATGAGCCGGACCGCACCGACTTCGGTGGAGTTATTGGCTGGTACCCGTGCGGGTAAGGCAAGGGTGCCGACATTCCGCCCACCAGAAGCGCCTCACCAGCATTGGGGCCGAAGTCAACTAGATATTGACGGCCGGGAGGGCTGGCTGGTAAACCTTCGCCTGGGTTGTCCTCTCTACCCCGTCTGTTGCAGTAGTGTATACTGCCCTTGTGTAAACACCGTTCACACATCCCACTTCCGCCCGCTCCTGGTCGGCACGCGGTCTTTGCTAGCCTGCATGCGTAGCAGGACGTTGGCCGGAGGTCCCGCCGACGACACGCACATCTCTCTCCTCTGCAAATTCTGTGTTGCTCACAGGTATCGGAGCAAATGTGGCGACCCATTTTGCCTATAATACACTTTGTGTTAATTTCGTTGGCCAAGGGATAAGCCAAAGACATCTTTTCATGAAATTGGAACTGAATAACAAACCGTAAGATAAGTACCTGTAAGGATATTACTTACCAATGACGGTGTGAAGAAAGAGTGACCGCGAATCGGGGCGGTAGAGACTGCTGGACGATACCACTGACAACAAGAAGAGGAATAGTCCATCTCAGCACAAGCACCAGTCATGTCCGAAACACATGGCCGATCGAGCAAAGAAAGCTGCCGGAGTTTGGATAACAGCAATCAAGCCACATAATCATATCATCTCAGGTCGAAGCTGGTTAAATGGGGAAGTGTTCGTGAGTCAGTGAAACACTACAAGTGAGTTCTATGGGCTGAGTAGGTGTGGAACGTTGGGGCATCCCCTTGTCGTCAAAGGGTATCGAGCACGTTAAAAATATGTCTCTTCTGCAGGTAATTATCTGGCGTAAACATCTTGGACGTCAAAAGCAGACTGATAGCCCAATCACCAGTCACATCCATCAACGCCTATCGCTCAAATGGTCTGATGCGTATCTTCCATCGAGCAATGCTCAAGAACATAGCATTTTCGACTGACCACGGTATCTCTTCAAGCATCACGTGGTCAAGAGAAACAGCCTGTCTACAACATCGTCCACATTCCATCTTCACTCCAGGCCGTGGCTGCTTGCGTGATCACATCATTGGTCCCAACTGCGGCTTGGATGCTGGTGACCTATGGGTGAGTCGACATCAACTTCTATGGTGAAACTTAGCACACCATCAGCTCCCTCACTGACACCGATCATTCCCTTCTGGAAGAAGGCTCGTACCACAGACATGCCGTCAACACAACCAACCTTCGTTCGTCCTACGTTGAGAACCCTGGGCAAGACCGAAAGGGATTCTGTTACGGGTGCCAGAGAGACCTAGGAACAGTCGGACAGGCAGGTACACTCACACTCCGGGCAAGGATGATTGATAATCAGAAGGAGAAGAAAATAAAAGAATGGAAGGAAACCCACAACCGCACCTCGGATTGCAAGTAACGTAGACGGGGTCACTGATTTACAGCGAACCGAAAGAGTAAGTCGGCAACAAGAGCTTCCGGCAGATAGGGGACTGAAGACGGGAAGATGACGAGAAAGAAAGTGAATATGAGGCAGCCTGCAGGAAGCTACTGCTTTGATAGACATCTTTCGTGCAACCAAGGCTAATAGTGTAGGTGAACGTCAAGCGAGTCTGGAGTGAACTGTGACGGTACCGCTTGACTAGGAAGTCCCAACTAGGGTTCATCTTCGGGTAGGTAAAAAGTCCGGTCGACAGGAAGGTGCTAGATGATAATATCTCCTATATTTCCCGTCATGGATGATGGGTTGGGCAAATGACCATGGAATTCAACACTGAGACATTTTGGGGTTCTTTCGGAAATCACGAGCGAGCGAAGCAAACTTGATATGTAGTTCAACAAAAACTGGAATCAGAAGGAGAAACCGTTGTCTAGATCATCCCGACGTTGAACCCGTGCGACCCGTGTCTTCGTACCTTTCGTCTAAGACTATTACTCAAAGGTAGCAAAACGAATATTTCCAAGATAAACCGGGCGTGCGAGGTATGGAATATCTCCGAAGTCGGGAAGACGTCTTCGATGGATTACACTTGTGGTGGGTGTTTGATAAAGACGGGACCACGGAATCTATGTTACGGAGTTTGCCAGAACCACGAATGGTAGGTCATCGCTGGTACTACCTATGACACATTGTCAAATCTGTGCTGATGTCGATTGGGTTGTGAGGATTCTGGCCTGTCGGTAATCCAAACATTCCCAACGAACATCAAGAGCAAGAGAAAGGAGCCGAGGACGGACTCAGTCACGCCAACCTACCTCAAGGGAAGGAATGTGCAAGAGCAAGAAACCACGACTGTTGAATCATCGAAATCGCCTGCCTTGTGTGGCCATGAGTGAGCCATTAAACTATCCAGCAAGTGCCCCACAACCTGGTCTGATGTCCAACGCAAGATTCAATCTCCACGGCGACATGTGACAGTCAAGGCTCAATGGATAACCGAAACCAACAACACATTTCTCACCGATACTGGATAATCACATATTCGTCTTGCCTACATACACATGTATTCATGATGTGGCGTCAATCGCGCAACCGCCTCGAAAGTTCCAGGAGGATTTGCTCCAGTTCAAGCGCCTCTGAGGCTTCCAAATCCACAATCTACAGCCCAAGTTGCTCCTTCTAGATTTTCATGCATCCAGCCCTTCCCCAATTTGTCCTTCCTCACACCTACCCTTTCCTCCTCTCCCCTCTCATCCTTCCGGAAGAGAACGAGAAAATAAAGGAAGGACCGCTACAAACCGAGTCACGACATCCGATCAACAGTGAGAGATCCATGCTTTTTGGGAGGCGGAAGCTGAGCGGCGCCTGCCGGCATCTAACAATTTGAGTTGCGATACGATGTAGCACCAAGTAAGTATCGTGCGCCGTTTTATTGATTTCGCGCCACATCATTCGTGAGGATCGACGACTCGCTGGGTAGGGTGAATGGCTACCTACACTACTGTAGTTGGCAATTCACATCATGGAACGGCAATGTCTAGATACTGTGTATCTGATGCGCGTATAGCGAGCAAGCCACTCCCGTCCCGAAGATCGACCATGCAAAAAACTGATCTTCACAATGTATTGCTTCAAATTGATCGTGTTCTTTTTCTCTTCACCGCTTCGCTCGCTTCAGTGTGCGGAGGGATGTCGTGCATTTGGGCGTAGACCTTGCAGGATGAGAGTCCCGCTCTATTGGACGATCTTCAGCTGGAATATCGCATTGATCAAGCCTCAGCGCCAGTAGCAAGCAGCCACAGATCGTTCACTAGTCACAATATACGATACTTTTAACAGTGAGGTCAAGAGCCAAGGTGGGATATGCATCGAACAAGGTAAAGCACCGTAAGTCTAAGTCCTGCCATGTCGTGTTTGTCCCTTGTTCCTAGCTGTCTCACAACCCAGCGCAGCACTGACTTGAAGTAAAGGTAGAGAAAGTATACCAGGTAGGCGCCCGCGTAAATAAGAGGGACAAAGGCAGAAAGTAGCAGGTACCCGTCTCTCTCGAATCGGAAGAACCATGAAGCTAGACCGCCAGATTGGCTTTGAGTTTACTCCATACCACCGCAGTTGAGTTAGATTGAGGTTCGCAGGTTTTCATCCAGTCGGAAATTTCCATCGTTGAGCGACCAGGTGTTACTGCTGCCATAACCTCAACAATGGGTGCCCGATGTTGTGCTTTGTATACATGTGTGTTTGCGGTAAGGTTGGCCTGTTCTCCCTGTCCGTTAGTAACGAGCGCATCGTCAATCCCTCAATCCGTAAAAGTTGATGCCTTGCATTACGGTGTATTCCGGTCGCTTCATTTTACTCACCTTTGCCTACCGTTAACAATCCCAGTCAGGTCAATGTCGTCTTCAGACATTTGGGTCTTCCATCAACTTGTGGTGGCCGTCCACCTTTCTCCCCGTCATCTCCCCCCCTCCTCCTCTTTCCCTTTTCGTCATCAACCCTGCCAGAAACCCAGCAGCGTATTAATAATTTCGACCCGTGAGTCTTGACCTTTACCTTGTTTCTTCAGCCTCACCCTTCCGTAGTCCCTTGGCGAGAAAACTCCCGAATGTCTCATTGGTCTCAGATATTGCTCGTGCGTCGATCGAGCCCATTCCCTAGTTGAGCTCACTACCTATAGATTAATTTGAGGGAATACGAGAAAAAAAAAGTTTTGGGTCTTGGATCTCTCGCCTTCACACGCTGGATGGTAGGTCGCTGTCGCCTAGTCGCTGGACTGCACTATCGCTGGGTTGCTGCTGGGGAAAGACATGCAGGATAGGCAAGGCAGGGCAGGGCAGGCCCGGCAAAAGAGAGGGGGGGATAGGATGGATAAACAAGACAAAAAGAGCGGGCGGGCTAGGATAGCCAGCTGGTAAGGTGGCAGGGGATAGGGGGTGAGGGTATCCCTTGTGAAATGCATTTTTGTGCAACGATGATATATTGGACTTTTTTTTCTTCTTTTTTTTTCCTTTTTCTTTTTATTAAAATTTCCACGTTCGTCATGTCGTTCTCGATAACGGGTCCAAGCTTGCCGGGTCTCCCTTCTGGTTTCTCAAAGATGGTCGTCAGTTTGTCAAGACTGTCTACATGGGACTGGCTGCTTGCCGTTAACAAATGGCACCGGTTCCGTCCTGTCCGCCGCTCGCATTTTCGAATCGCTAGCGAGGAAATCGGAATGTGTGAATGACGATCGATTGGGTAAGGTACTTGTTCCCACACTCAAACACCTGTGCAGTCTTGGCAAGCGGTGCGTGCGCGCACACACACACACACACACACCGCACTTCTGTATTGCACAACTTCGTTAAAATCTATTATTTGATAATAATTTTTATATTAAATTAAAGCTATTTCAGTGTGTAAGGTAATTAAAACACTAGTAATTAATTAAATCTATTATAATAATACTTCCCAAAACGATCCTCAATTTAAAACCTACCGGCGTAAAGCGGTTTTATATTCGAAGCGGCGCGCTAGTAGTTTATTTTGACGACGATTAAGATAATGAAGATCCTAACCTAACAATTCTATAATACGCCTCCTCCCGGCCTAGAAAAAAGAGCTGTAAAATTGAGTAGTCTATTAAAATTATTCTTAAAATTATTCTTAAGAAGAAAGTTGCTCTTATTAAAGCTATTCCTAAGAAGGTTATTATTAAGAAGAAGGGGAAGGCCCCGGCCGCGGCCGCAGTTATTAAAGACCCGACGCTAGAGTTGCCCTCGTCCCCTCCTTAATTTCGATCTACTACCCCTATCGATATTTCTAGTAATAACGAAGACTCTAGTAATAATAATAAGGTCGAGTAATAGCTCCCTATCCGCTTTACCTTTAAGAAGTAGGCTTTTAATATTTTATTTTATTTATTAGGTAATAATAATAGCGAAGTAGCCTCTTTAACTAAACTAATTACTTTAGTACTACCGGCCCAACCTCACGCCTATAAGCCGATTATTCTAATATTATTACCGCTTTCTAAATACCCCTAGTTAATATAAATTTAATTTAATATAGTCGGTTTATATATTATTATTAGCCATAATAAACTACCCCCTATTGAAGAATGTAATATACTTAGAGAGGTAGAGGTTGAATAAAACAACAGCGAACTTTATAACTAGCAGTTTAGGACGGCCCTACTTAGTAAAATTAAATAGTTATAGTAAGGTTATATATAAGAGATTATTAATAATAATATAACTATTATAGGGCTAGTCTATAACTGTCATCTGGTCGCGGTATTACTACAGCTATAGTTGCCGGTTAATATACGCTCTCTAATTAACTAATCCGTTTAGCCTTACTACCGCTACAGCGGCTACTAAGCTAACGCAGGCCCCCTAATTGGCTATACGCTCCCGGAGGCTCCAGTTACATATACTAAGGATACGGCTCACCCTCGCCTATATAGAATAAACCGCTACGTATAAATTCTATAATTTCCTTTCTTCCTTATATAATTATATAAATTATATTCTACACTATATATTTAATATTACTATACCCTGTAATAATTAATTACACCTTACTATTATACTACGAGCGTACTTTATTATAAGGAAAAAGTACGAATTTTAGTACTACTTTGTAATACTATTAATCGCCGGAAAATCCTATAACCTATCAAATTTAGTAGAGCCTATAACTCTTAATAGTAATATTATTATTACTAACGAAGGTATTCTTCTAAAAGTGCTAAATAAAAATATCGACGTCCCAAATACTCCTTAGGACAGCGAATCCGAAAGCTCCAACCTACTAATAAATAAAAACGTCTATCTAATTACGCTAAAAAGCGTACTACGTAACTAGGCTATTAAATATTTTATT